GGTATCAAACCAGGATCAGCATGTGGATACTACCATGAGCAGGTCTCAGCTTGATTCAAGGAAGAACTTTCTGGCAATGTCTGGGAAGGACTACCTTGGCAGGCAGTTCATTGGCTTTATCATTCACTCACTCTACACATATTTACCATGTGCAACCAGGCCTGGCACTCTGGTTGCTGAGGATACAGCAGTGTGCAAAACACACAAAACTGCCTGCCCTCACAGAGTTGACCCCCCATATGTGAACATTCTGGGAGGCGCTGAGGCAAAACATGCAGTGGGACCTCGGCCTGCATGGATCTTAACATTCCTTCAGGGGGTTCATATCTTTCCTCGGCTTTAGAAAACCTAGTTTGTCTTCATTTCATGACTATACCCTTTTAAAATTTGGAAAGAACCTTATCATCAACACTGTATAGTTTTCATGGTTTCCAATAGAAACAAGCCTGTACCTGTGAGTTAGGATACAGGGATATGACATAACTTTTTTATATGGCAATTGTAAAAATTGCCTTTAGATTGGGAAGTCTTAGACAAATAAAATTTCTTCATTTAAAAACAAGCTGCAGGCTGGCATGGTGGCACATACCTTTAGTCCTAGCTACTCAGGAGGCTGGGGCAGAAGGATCGCTTGAGCCCAGGAGTTTGAGGTTGCTGTGAGCTATGATGATACCACTGCACTCTACCTGGGACAACAGAGTGATACCCTGTCTCCATCAATCAATCAACCAATCAATAAAGCTCCAGTTGATTATATGCTATGTTTCTTTTATTTAAGCTGTATTAGGACAAGGCATTAAAATTATCAATGTGAGGAATTCTTTCTAGAGAATAGCCAGATCACAGACAATACATATTCTGTCCTTGACGTGAACACGTAGGAACTCAACTAAAACAGATTCATTGTTACTGTCATCCAGATGCTTGGCGCAGCCTCAGAGAAGCCACAATGATTTTAATTCCTCTAATGGCTGGGATTTACATCCCCAGACTCATTTTCCACCATAGCTCTCTTATTCTTCAGCACCGGTCTCTTTCTGGCTTGTACTTTCTTCTGCATAATAAACATTCTCAGGATAGACCCCGTTTTCCATTTTCATATTTTCTTCCTCAATGGACTGCTGTTGAGATCTGTATCACCCTGGAAGACAGTAAGAGAGAGAGGGTGGAGAAAGTCCATGTGGGTCAGGGCAGGGAGTTCTGACATCTTTGCTCCCTTCTTGCTAGAAAGTCAGCTCCCCGAGATGTTGGGATACTTGTACATAGGCTGTCTTCCGAGTAATGGGTACCATTGGGTCATACCTAGCTTGTTCTGCATAAGGTTGGGAGGGTTTAGAGACACCTTCTTTGGGCCTGGCATGCCCCTTAGGACTGAACTCTGCCAGGCTGTTGAGAGGGCCAGGGTGCAATCCTGAGACCCAGTGCTTCCCTCAAGCCTGCGTGTGGCATCTCTTGAGGGGCCAAGAGGCTTCCTTTGCTATTGTGATGTGAGCATCTTCCCAAGAAAGAAAAGCTGCTGCTCATTGCATCCCACAAATGGATTTTAAATATTAGTAAGGACCGGACGCAGTAGCTCACGCCTGCAATCCTACCACTCTGGGAGGCCGAGGTGGGAGGATCGCTTAGGGTCAGGAATTTGAGACAGCCTGAGCAAGAGCAAGACCTCGTCTCTACTAAAAACAGAAAGAAATTAGCTGGACAACTAAAAATATATATAGAAAAAATTAGCCAGGCATGGTGGCGCATGCCTGTAGTCCCAGCTACTTGGGAGGCTGAGGCAGAAGGATTGCTTGAGCCCAGGAGTCTGAGGTTGCTGTGAGCTAGGCTGATACCATGGCACTCTAGCCTGGGCAACAGAGCCAGACTTTGTCTCAAAAAAACAAATAAATAAAATAAATATTAGTAAGATTTCCTTCTGGAGTTTATGGAATATTGTACCCCACAGGGCCCTTCACAGCCTCACCCCTGCCTACCCTGCTAGTTTCCTCTCCCACCTCTCTGCAGCTCTCTTGCCTCATGCTGAGCCCCTGAGCAACTCCCACCTCTGTACTTTTGCATGTGTTGGGCCTTCTATCTGGAATTTCCTTCTCTTCTCTGCCTGGCGAAGGATCAGTGTTATTCATTCTTCTAAGTTTTTGTTAAAATATTTTATTTTTTATTTTAATAGCAAGACCAATAACTTCTATAAAAGACACCAGTTATGCACTTGGATGTCATAGTGTCAATTGCTATAAAAATTTCTAAAAACTTCCTCTCAGTTTCTACACTTCTGCTGTTGTGGGCAGGTAACAAACAGGACCACCCATCGCATGGTACTGCTCTAGACTCTTGTACAGGTTACGCCCTCCTTGGAGTGCTCCATCCAGCCACCTCGGGATGATCCAATTGCTCCTCCTCTGTGCTCCCTTCCCATGAAATGCAAACAGCACATAGGAGAACATTGGCCCACAGCCTTATAGTGATTGTTGTGTGCATCTACCTCTCTACCAGGTGCTGAGCTCCTCAAGGAGGACCTTCTTTCTCATTTACCTCTGTATCCCAGAGAACAGGCCTAGAGCCCATATTCAGAGCTTGGTCAATACATGTGGGGATGGATATAATGCCACTTTAGAAAACTAAACTCTGTGGCTCATGAACGTGAAGGCAGGGTCTAGGCTCAGTGTTGATCCATGCACCAGTTTTCTTAAGACAGCCCATGACCACGGGTGGTATATCCAGCCCTGTGACCACCAAGGGGACATGGATAAAAGAGTAAGGATAGATCAAGACATGGAGAGCAGACCCTGGAGGCATGGCCTCATCACCTCTGGGTGCTGCAGGCCAGACTGTAGCCTGGAACGTGGAAGTAGATCCTTTCTGTGATAGAGCAGCTGGACCAGGGCCAACTAAGGGAGGGTGAGGGATTTGCCTTAGAAGGTATCTACTCCTGGAGGCTAAGACTTAGCAGGTGGAAGGAGCTAAACCACCTCCTGAGTCAGGGTGTGCAGGAAGCCTCCTGAGTAACCCCTGCCTAGGTGAGAGCTCAGGGGGAGGGATCCCTTTCAGGTTTCTGCCCTGAAAGGAGATGGTTACACATTAATCATAGAACTCATCTAGAGTCAAGCCTCTGGTTTTCTTTTTTTCTTTCTTTCTTTATTTTTTTCAGCAGAGAATTGAGTTCTAGGGCCTCTGATTTTCTTAACTTCCCAAGCTTACCATTTACCATTATTTTAGGGTTAGAGAATTAAGAAAAAGATTCTGTGTCCTTTTTTTTTTTGTTTCCTCCCTAAGCAAATAGTATTATCTTACTGAGCCTTATCTGGCTCAGCTTGAATCCAAAGGTCAATGGGTTATCACTTTTGGCTAAAACTCAAACTGACCACCATTCCTGAGAGACAGAGAGTTGTAAATGAACAGGGAACCTTACCCTCACCAATAGCTGATTCATCCAGATGTTTGAACACAAGGCTAGAAATAATTTCTGGAATCCATGGAAGTTGGTACTTAGGCTTCACCCTCACCCCTATCCCCCAATCTGAGCCAAGTCCTGGATTTTTAGCTGTCCTGGTTAATCCCACACAGAAGGCAACCAAATCAATTTTCCATGGTAATTCAAATAAAAGACAACTTGCCTTTCCTTAGTACAGGGTTTGTATGATCTGAGGGAGTATTAGAAACCTGAATTCAACCAGTATTGATGAAATGATGAAATTCTCTGAGTTTATTTTCCTCACCTGACAAATGGGGATATTTATCCCTACGTCATAGGGTAAATAAAATAGTGAGAAGCATCTGCCATCTGCCAGGCTCTTGTAAAAAATCTAGGTGAAACCTCCATCCCCAGCTCTGTGTTTTTGTAAGGGCAGACTTCTGCTACAGCAGTGGCTGTCAAACTTGATCACACATCTGAGTTCCCTGGAGGGCTTGTTAAACCACAGATGCTGGAGCTACCCCCAGAGCTGCTGACTCTGTAGGTCTAGAGCCAGGCCTATGACTAGGCATTTCTAACAACTCTCCAGGTGACATTGATGTTGCTGGTCCAGGAGACCATGTTTTGGGAAGCACTGCTCTAGAATAATGTTCTTTGTCTCTCTCCTCACCTTTCCCTTGCTTCTCTCCATGGGGGGAGGAACGATTTATCTTGTGTTTGGAATAAGAAACCAGGAAGGCTGAACCCTATCTTGTCTCTCCTTTTAGATCTACTTTCAGGGATGATGAGTTCTGGTTGTTCCTCTGCTCAAGGCAGTGGCTGCCTCGCAGGGAGCTGGCCTGTGGTTGTTCAGTGCTACAGGCATCTTTAATCCTGAGGCAAAGATGAGGATGCCCGTGGTGGACGCACACTAGAGCCACATCCTCAGTCTAGAGTTACAGCATAATAAAACTGGTATTTTGACTCATATATTTGTCCCCAGTGTTTTTTTCCCTTGATTGGTTCTGAAGTGAAGGGAGTAAGAAAGGACTGTTTTAAGTTGTCCCCCTAAAATCCCACCTGCACTCAGTGCTCAAGAAATGGTAGCTGTGATTATGATTATTAATTATTTCGTTAGTATTAGAAACCTGAATTCAACCAATATTGATGAAATCCCCAGTGAAGAATAATATTGTGGGGGATGTGAAAGACGAACACACATTGCCACGAGCTTGTGGATGTCTCCATGGATCTCCAGAGAAAATGCATGTGTACGAAGCACCCACGTTTCAGGTCTAGCATCAAGAATCATCACACAAGGAAACTGCCTTCCACCCAGATGGGGGACATCAGGACTACCTGCACCTGTCTGCAGGTGGACAGTACCCCACCCAAGGCTGTGAGAATCCAGAGAGGAGAGCTGCAGCTGAAGAGGTGGGGGGAGCTGTGGGGTTCCTGTTGCATGAGATTGGGTGTGACAAAGACTGGAAGCTGGGGAGCATGGAGTGCCTGCTGGGTAGCATACTACCACTGCTGGGAGCAAAGAGGGTACAGGGAAGGTGAGCTTCCGGCAGTCCACACCTACCTGCTGTGGCCTAGGGCACGGAAGGCCTCATTCCTCAGAGAGGGTTTTGGAAGAGCCTGTCTTAGGCACCTGGATGATCTCCACGGAGGTGATACCCTTGCCGGCCACACGGTGTCTGGTGCGCAGCTTGTTCAGGGCAGTCTCTGCCATGCCGGCCCGCTCCTCAGCATCATCCAGCTCATGCACTGTCTTCCTGTACCGAGCCAAGGTCTGGTTGGCCTGCTCCTCCTGTGACAAACGCATGGCAGAAAACAGGGTATGAGCCTGGCTGGTTCTGGTTAAGTGAGCAGTTTTATGAGTTCTACTCGGACCTCTAAGAGTCCAGTTGTTCTTCTTACAAATCAGCTGTCCTGGGTGGGGAGGGACATGTTCCAGCTCACCAGGGATGACCACCTTCAACACTCTTATTTGATTCTTTTTGGCCTTGATGTCAATATTTGTAAGTAAAAATGTGCTTCTGTTGCTGCTTCTGTAATTTGCGGTTTTAGGCATTATCTATTGGTGCTCCACTATAGAAGATGAGGATTTAGCACTTTCCCAGCCCCTGCCATACATTTCCCATCCCCTGGTCTTCCCAGCAGAGTTGTGGTCATTTTGGTTAGAATAGTATTTTTTTGGTTAGAACCATATCTGCTGTCAGCTGGCCTTTATCGAGCCTTTTGGTAAGAGTGTTAGGTGCACGGGTAGCTGATGGATTCAACATGGTGGCCACAGAACTGGCAGCAAATGACAGCAGTCACTATCTATGTCCTTGAGGGGGAGTATATAGGACATGTGGTGCAGGGGTGAGACTTGAAACTGCCGTTTGCTGCCCATTTAACTTTAATTCTGACTTTTACTAACATAGCATAGATAGTCCACTCTGGGTCTGTTTCCTTGCCTGTGAAATGGATTAAGAATATCAGCCTTCCTACCTCAACAGCAGGAGGATCAAATAAGGAAGGGAGAGGTTGTCCTTGCCAGAGGCCACAAGGGTCAACAGAAGCAGGACAGAGGCAGCAGGACCTTCCCGAGGTTGAGGTCTCCGCTGCAGTGGTTATGTTAGTTAATCTGGTATTCATGGGGAATATTTTTAGTTTTTACATGTTCTTATCTCTGGTGTGTAGTGCCTGGTCCCCTTCCCATTCAATACTGAGGACATGGTGCCATGGACATGAGCCTCACAGAGTCATCTTGGGGCCAATACTTGCTTCTTTCCCCGTGGTTAATTCTAATCAAGGCTGGCGGCCTGGGCTGGGAAACAAGCGTTAGGGAGTGAGGAATGGGGAAGCTGTCGAGCACTTACCGCCTCCTCGATCTGCCGCTTGTAGACCTTCAGCTTGTTCTGCAGCTTCTCCACCAGCTCCTGCACGAGCTGGTTGGTCTTGTGGTCCTCCTCCATCTGGAACACCAGCTCTTTGAGGCGGCGCTCATTCTTGCGCAGCGTCTTAACCGTCTCCACGTGCTGTTTCTGCTCCCCGTCCAGCTCTGTCTCTAGTTCCTTGATCTGAGGGAGAAAGAGAGGAATGCAGCTGAGGGGATGCATGTTATTGAACTTCAGAGCTCAGTGGCCTTGGACGTGGCTGTCATGGCTGCAATATCCACTTCCTGCCTGGAGGTGATGGGACGAGCCCTTGGCAGGAAAGCCAGGCTCTGCCTTTTATGGGCCATGCTGTGGGCACCACACAGTCACCTTCCCCTGAGCCTCAGGTTTCCTCCTCTGGGAAATGGGGGAGTCAGAGGTCAGATAAGGCGACTGAACCTTCTGGGCCCTTCCATCACTGACGCTGGGGTAAAGACTAAAGCTGGTTTTCTTTAAGTGAATAATAAGAGGAAGGAAAACATTGGGAACTTCTCTGCTTGGAGGCTAAGGCATTCTGGGAGAAAGGTGACAGGGAGAGAGGTGGAGGAGAGGAGAACTTTGGATAAATAAACTAAAGCTATTGTCCCAGTTTCCTTTTCTTTCATAGCACTTGTACCACCCAGTTCCTCATCAAATGCAAGGCATGATTTTGGCTCCCCTCTCCTGGCTGGCTTGACACTGCCCTCACCCTGGCCTCCAGCTTGATGATCATGCGCTTCCCTCCTTTCAGGGCCAGCTGCTCAGCCTCCTCCATCTTGGCCTGCAGGTCTTTGATAGTGACCTCATAGTTCTTCTTGATTTTTCTCCAGGTGCATGCAGTGGTCCTGCTCTTGCCGGAGCTCTTCTGCCATGCGGGCAGCCTGTGGGCAGGGAGGAGTGGGAGTTGGAGCTGGGTGCTACCCAAGTTTGTAGCACCTTTGAGAGATGAGGGACCTTATCTTCCAGTCTCTGGGGAATCAAGTGGTTGACAAAAGGATCCTTGCTGACAAGCTGCTAGGGTTTGGTGGAGGGGGTGCCCCTTGATCCCATGTGCCCTGAATGGGGAGGGGGAGGCTCATGCACCCCCAGCCAAGCCTCCTAACCCCACGGACTCCTGCCAGCTAGGGGCACTCAAGCCAAACCCTTTGCTGCCACCTCCATGAGGGGCACAACATGGAGGGCGGGAAAAGCACAGCATCTGGAGTTGGAAGACTTAGGACTGTGTCCAGCCCTGAGCAACCTTCAGCAAGTTAGTTGCCTATCCCTCCTCAGCTCCCTTGTTCTTGCATGCGTTCCACAAATATTCATGAAGGGTCTACTGTGTACCAGGCATGGGTCTGTGCTCTTGGGAGGTAGCGCCACATAAGACCAACAGTGTTCTTGAACTCCTGGAATTTTAATCAAGTGGGAAAAGCCCGGCAATAAAATCTGTATTTTCTCATCTTCAAAGTGGGGATAAACAGAACCTACCACTCAAGGTTGGTGTGAGCACCCAAAGGGATGCTGGGGTGAACACACATGGTGACACATTTGCTGACATCCACCTCTGAGCCCCTGGGCATGTGTCCATCTTCCTTTTCCTAGCTCTTTCCTCAAGGCTGTTTTAATGCTGCTCATTGCCAAAAATCCTGCCCAGATGAGCCCTTTTGATCTGAGTCCCCTGGCCTCATGCTGTAATCCTTCACATGATCATGTGTAGCTTGTAATTCTTCCTTACTTTCATATGTTTGGCTTTTTAGAAAAGCCTCAGGCTCCTCCATGACAGAGCCACATCCCTGCTGGGCAGGACACCACAAGCGAGTTCACAGTGACCCACGAGGGGAGAGGGTGGCTTTCCTGTCCAGGCCCTGCCCACCAGCAGCAGGTGGCACAAACACCTACGTCTGTCATGGCCTTCTTGGCCCTCTCATCAGCAGAACGGAACTCACTGATGAGCTCCTTGTGCTCATTGGAGATGCGCTGGACATCTGACTCCAGCTTGCGCTTGACCACCAGGAGGCTTTGGTTCTGGAGGAGGAATGAAGATACTATCAGGAGTCTGCATGGCCCTGCCCATGTCCAGGAAAGAAAACCACCCTCTCCCAGACATGCTTGCCAGACCCTCCAACAGGAAATGGCCCTTGGCCTTCTGTGTGGGTTGAGGGTCTCTCCCTTGCATTCCTCTCTGGGTTTTAGAGCAGAACTCGAGTCATGAGTAGCCCAGGAATAATGTGTCTGAGTGTGAGTCCGAGAGGCACTGATCCAGGAGCCACTGACCTACCTGGATGTTGACCTCATTGTGCCTCTCAGTGATCTCCACCACCTCCTGTTCCAGCAGCTTGCGGGAGCGCTCGCTGCCCTCCAGGGCTGAGCGCACCTCTTCCAGCTCCGTCTGCAGCAGGCTCAGGCGCCGCTCCTGCAGGTTGTACTGCTCCCGTAGCTCCTCATGCTGCCGGGCATCCTCATCCATCTGGACCTGCAGGTCCTAGAGGGCAGAAGGACCTGGCCTGAGCCCATTGGCTGGACTATGGTACAACCTGGGCTGGCCAGGCCTGAGGGTGCCCTCACCTTTATGAACAGAGTTCAGCAAGAAGCGGGGGCAGGGGTAGAGGCCACAGAGAAAGAGAGTGAGACACAGATATGCCCTAGGGGAGTTCATGGCGTGGTCGAGTCCCAGCTAGGCCAGGACCCAGGACTTGTCTAACAGGAGATCAAGCCTTTCCTGATGGCAGAGTGCCTGGTGTTCTCAGCAGGGCCCTCTCAGGGAGGCCTTCCCTGATGACCTTTGACAATTATGCTTTCACTGGCTAATCTCTGGCTTCCTTCCTCTGCCCTCTTATTTCTCCATAACACTTATCATCATTTTTTTTTTTTTTTTGAGACAGAGTCTCACTGTGTTGCCCTGGCTAGAGTGCCATGGCATCATCCTAGCTCACAGCAACCTCAAACTCCTGGGCTCAAGCAATCCTCCTGCCTCAGCCTCCCAAGTAGCTGGGACTACAGGCATGCGCCACCATGCCCGGCTAATTTTTTACATATATTTTTAGTTGTCCAATTAATTTCTTTCTATTTTTAGTAGAGACGGGGTCTCGCTCTTGCTCAGGCTGGTTTCGAACTCCTGAGCTCAAACAATCCGCCCGCCTCGGCCTCCTAGAGAGCTAGGATTACAGGCGTGAGCCACCGCGCCCGGCCTATCATCATTTTTAATACTACAGTTTAATTTATTTGTTGCTTAATGTCTACCTGCAGGGGTGTTTCTGTCTTGTCTACTCTTATATTCCTAGCACCTAAAACAGTGCCCAGGTAGGGCAGGTCCCCAATGAACAAGTATTGAATGCATGGATGCTACTATATATGTATGCTTTAAAGACCAGCCTGATGATGGAGGGCAATAAAGAGGACTTGTGTTTATTTTTTAAGGCTAGTGGTGGGTATATGAGTTTATGTTCTTTATTTTTCTATGTCTGAAATAGTTTATAGTAAGTCAAAAATGATTTTAAAAATTCAGACAGGCCCAACTTCATGTTTTCCTCCTTTCTTCCCTCTCTCCAGTTGTCCCAGACATGGACTTTGGTGGTTGGGGCCTCTTGTTTATACAGTCCCTAAGTCTCCTGCTCCCTAGACTGCCAGCCACCCTGCGGCCTCACTCTTCTGCCTTTATCCTTGCTGACGACATGCACAAAGTTAGTACCCTGTAAGCCTTCAGGCTCGACTGATGATAGCTTGCTTTGTGATTAGTTTCTTCTCTTCCCAGATTACTACCTTGATTTGCTGTTGCAGCCTTTTCAGTGTCTTCACAAGTTCGCTGTTGTTCTTATTGGCATGGTCCAGCTGGATTTCCATCTCATTCAGGTCCGTTTCCATCTTCTTCTTGAGCTGTAGCGCCTCTGCCTGGCCCTTGGCCTCTGCCTCCAGGCTGGCCTGCAAGGACTCGATTGCCCGCTGGTGGTTCTTCCTGTAAGTCCAAGCAGAGAAGACTTTGGTATACTGGGCCTGCTGTTCAGTCTGTGCCAAACCTCCCTAGATAAGAGGTCTCTCAGTATCAGCGGAGCCAGATACAGCTACCATGTTGTGAAATTAAACAAACCCTTAAAGCACTAAGTGGGGTAGTCTCATGCTGTAGGGAAAGAAAAGAAAGGTCATATTTACTGAATATTTTCCATGTGTCTTATGTGATTTCAATTCATTTAACATGCAGATCAGCTCTGAGAGGAAACTGAGGCTCTGAGATGCTGAAAAACATGCCAAAAGGCCACCCATTTGGCATACAGTAGAGTCATAATTCAAATGCAGATGCTAAATTCCCAGGTTTTTCCATTATAGAATGTGAGCTTTGGCCATATAAGTCAGGTTTATATCTCTCTTCAAAACAACAGTCATTAATTGGTTATATTTAGTATATAATAATATTATAATCAACACAATAAATATTTCCATAAAACCCTCATATAAGCTGTATTAATCTCCTTTTATAGGAGAAGACCAAGGAGGTAATGAGGTGTCCAATAAACATTTGTTGAACTGAGGCAAATAAATGGTTGGCATGTAAAGATCCTGTCACCTGCCTTTTCAGAAATCCCCACCCCCATCCCATGTTCACCTCAGCTTCACCATGAATGCCCACCACATGCATGCACATTGCTGGATTTGCAGCACCTTGGAATGGTTCAATTCCTAGATATGGGAGAGGGTATTATAACATTCCCAAAAGCAAACAAAATAGTGATTCACTTTCACTTAAAAAATAAATATAAGCAGAAACTACAAAACATTGTTGAAAAAAATTAAAGATGATTTAACTAAATGGGAATACGTACATGTTTATGGATCAGAAGACTTACTATTGTTAAGGTGGCAATAATCCCCAAATTGATCTACAGATTCAGCACAATCCCTATCAAAATTTCAGCTGATTCTTTACAGAAATTCATAGACTGATCCCAAAATTTAAATGGAAATGGAAGGGACCCAGAATGACCATGACGATCTTGAAAAAGAACAAAGTTGTAGGACTCGCACTTTCCAATTTCAAAGCTTATTACAAAGATACAGTAATCAAGACAGTATGGTCCTGGTATAAAGATAGAAGTATACATCAATGGAATAGAATCAAGAATCCAGAAACAAACTCTCACAATTATGATGAATCTATTTTCAACATGGGTACCAAGACCATTCAATGGGGAGAAAAGTCTTTTCAAAAAATAGTGCTGGGACAACTGGATATCCAGATGCAAAAGAATAAAAGTGGACCCTTACCTCACACCATATACAAAAATTAATTCAAAATGGATCAAACACCTAAATGTAAGAGCTAGAACTATAAAACTATTAGAAGGAAATATAGGCATAAATCTTTGTGACTGGATTAGGCAATGGATCTTCAGATGTGACCCCCCGAAGTATAAATGACTAAAGAAAAAAAAAAATTATACTTTTTCAAAATGAAAACTTTTGTGCTTCAAAGTACATCTTTAAGAAAGTGAAAAGACAACCCACAGAATGGAAGAAAATATTTGCAAATCATATATGATGAAGGTCTAATTTCCAGAATATATAAAGAACTCTTACAAGTCAACTATAAAAAGACAACCTGATTTTTAAAATGGACAAAGAACAGACATTTCTCCAAAGAAGATATACAAATGGCCAGTAAGCACATAAACGATGCTCAGCATCATTAGCCATCGTGGCTAAAATACTCTATGCTTAAGTGTTCGTAAACCAGTGCCACATTAGTGTAAGGCACTATCATTATTTCTATTTAATAGATGAGGAAACTGAGGTTCAGAGAGGTTCATGTGAATTACCTGAGGTCGCATGACTAGTAGGTGGCAGAGACCTAGGTTTCTGGTTCTATACCATCATACTGGCTAAAAGTCAGCCTCCCATTCGATCAGCTCCATACCTCGTAGCTTCAAATTCTTCTTCTTTCTCATGGATTCTCCGGTCAATATCAGCTTTGACCTCAGCCAGTTCCAACTGAATTTGGATCACCTTGCTCTCTTCAACCTACCAGGAATATAAACATCAGTCTTTCTGGCCAAGAAGGTATGCAGTTCCTGGCTAAGGGTCCAGGCCTCAGCAACAGCCCCATGGTTACCTCTAGGGAAGACTCAGCTTCTTCCAGGGCCACCTGGAGTTCTTCCTTCTCAATCTCCAATTTTTTCTTCAACTTCTGCAGTTCATGCACACTCTGTCCTCCCTCTCCGAGCTGAAAAAATAGAAAGAAATTAATTGGACAACTAAAAATATATATAAAAAATTAGCTGGGCATGGTGGCGCATGCCTGTAGTCCCAGCTACTTGGGAGGCTCTGAGGTTGGTGGTATGTGCAGAAAATATTCTGCTGAGGGCCCAAAGTGGGCTCCTTTGCCCAGAAACCCAGTCCTCCTCTTAAAGGTGCCCATGAACTTCCTTCTCCTGGGCTTGGTCCTGGCCTTAGCAGTGCTTGCCCACCCAGCACAAGGGTGACAACTCACTTGGTCTCCTCCAGCTCCTCAGTCCTCTGGATGGCATCGGTCTCGTACTTGGTCCTCCAGCTGGTCACTTCAGTGTTGAGCTTGGACACCAAGGCGCTGCAGCTCTGACTTGCCCCCCTGCTCCTCTTCCAGCTGCTCCTTTAGCAGGTCCAGGTCGTGCTTGGTGTTGGCAAGGCTCACCACGGCTGTGCTGCGGGACTGTGGAGATCAGCCAGTCAGCAGCCCTGGGGGCTTTCTACAGCCCCGGGGCCATCGCTTAGGTATGCATAACATTGGTGCAACAGTGACAGCAGGTGACAGAGGGAAAACAACACATGATTCTATCCAAACCATCAGGGTTTCATTTTCCTTATTTTCACCCTATTATCGTCCACAAGGATATGTGATTTCATCTAGTTGTACACATCACACACTACAGTTTTGTAGTTAACATTTTTACTTGCTATTGTATCACCTGTTTTTCATGTTCCTTCTAATTCTTCATAACCTATAACCTTTAAGGAGGCAGCTCTGTCACCATCAACCCCACCCCCAAACCAACCTTCGACTCTTCATCCAGCTGCCTCTTGTAATCATCCACTTGCGATGTCAGAGATGTCTTTATCCGTAGGATTTGATTGAGCCGACTCTGGGATTCTTCATGTTCCCGGCTCAGTTCACTATTTTCAGCTGGGTGAGAAGGGATGGAAGAAATATTGGATGAGCAACTGGTTCCCCAGCCAAATCCTAAGTCTCCTGGGGTGTTGCTTCTAAAGTACCAAATAAATATGGCACCTTGGCCAACTGAGCAGGAACAGGGAGCGCAGGGAACAACTATGCCAGCCACCCAAAGTAAGTGAGCCCAGGAGAGAAGAAAGCGCCCAGGGGTTGCCAACATCCAGGTGACTTGCATGGAATTAGGGGCCTCAGATACAAAGCCCCCAGCTCCCAACTGTCAGGAGATACAGCAAAGCAATTTGGAGCAGAGTGTTTACGGTATAAAATGTATTTGTCACCATCCCAGAACCTATAGTCCTGTCATTTGTGGAATGACTTTGAGAGCCCCGGAATGTCCATGAGCCAAAGAGGAAGAGCAAGGGTTTCTGGTTCTACTCTTTAAGTCCCTTCATCTCCCTCAGCTTCACTGTTCTTATCCATCAAATTGGGATATTGATTTTTAACAAGTATTCAGAATGTGAGAAACAAGGCCAAAGGATGCCTACAAGTTCTCTCGATGTCACACTGAAGCACTGTCTACCCAGCCCGCCCACGGAATATTTAGTTCTCTAAGGGAATGCACCTCTGTTTGACTTACTGTTTACCCCTGATTAGAGCCCAGCCTCTGCAAAGTTAGATGTTAACTTGTGTAATGATAAGTTACTGATTATTTTTGGCATAGAGATGCAAAGGATTTCTTCTGGTAGGGGGGAAAAACTAAACTAAACCCAGAGGTTACAGTATTATTGTGTGTGTGGACATTAACCAGTTTTGCATCTAACTTATTTTAGCATTCATTTCCCAGCTGACTGTATAAATCTCTGCCTCTCCAATGCTCTTTGAAGAGGCTTTGCCATTTTTCTGGTTCCCTTATTAATGAGTTAAATAAATCCTTGAAGCATGTTCACTTTATATTAGTATGTGGGTCATGTTTGAAAATTGGATTTTGTCAGCATCAATGTTCCTCCTGCTGATCTGACAGGGCAAGTGAGAGAATTTTTACAAAAATGCCTCGAATATGGCTCACGCCTGTAATCCTAACACTCTGGGAGGCCAAGGCGGAGGTGGGAGGATTGCATGAGCCCAGGAGTTCGAGACCAGCCTAAGCAAGAGCAAGACTCTGTCTTCACTAAAAATAGAAAAAAATTAGCTAGGCACAGTGGTGCCTGTAGTCCCAGCTACTTGGGAGGCTGAGGCAGGAGAATCACTTGAGCCCAGGAGTTTGAGGTTGCTGTGAGCTATGATGATGCCACTGCACTCTAGCTGGCCAAAAAGCAACAACAACAAAAAACACCCATGAATAGTGTTCTCTGTTTTACATTGTAAAGACATTACTTGGAATACTCAGCAGGTGGCATAAAATCTCCTTGTCTCATCGCAAGGGGATTGGATGGGAATTTTGCAAAGCCAAGAAAGCGCTGGGGAGAAGACCCAGGTGTGCTTCCTCCCGCTTCCTTCAGGATCCCTGTTCCTTTCCATGCACCACTCCTTGGGAAGCTGCAGGGAGGGAGCTCACCTTGGAGGCGGGTCCTAATGGCATTGATTTCTGCCTGGTTTCTCTCCAGCTCTGCCACCTTGGCGTTGACTTCTGATAAGCTGTCTTCCGGCTTTCTGACGTGGGCCTCTGCATTCAGCTGCTCAGAAAGAATGAACACCATGGGGAAGAGTACGGGGTTGGGCAGGCCAAGCCCTCCTTGCTTCCCCCTGGAATTTTGCCCTTCCTCATGTCTGTTCCTCTTGTGCACCTCCCAGAATACCTGCTCAGGCCTTCTAGAACATTCCGCTCTCGGAAATTCCAAACAGCTCACCATTTTCTATCAGTATAAACCCAGAGCCTTTGGGTGGGCACAGCCCCTCACTCTGGCCAATCCCCCTTTCACAGCCCCTCCAGACTCCTGCAGACCATACCCGATAAAAAAATGCAGTGAGCTGATTTAAGGAAAAATACTGGCATTAGTACAGGGGTCTGTAGGTAAAACTGGAACTATGAAGAGGCCTTGTGAGCATCTGACGTTTGGGGACTTGTGAGTATCTGACATTTGGGGACTACAAATAGTTGCTGGGTCAGGGACCCCCGAGGTATCACCTCGGCTCACCTTTGATTCCCACCTTCCCTAGTGTCACAAGGGGCTCTTCACCAGGTAGGTGCTCAATGAATGCATGTTGGATGGCTTACTTCATTTTCTTTCTTGTCATGGATCACTTTCTCTTTGAATTGTGGCATGGTATGCATTTATCTTATTTCTCCTACTGGTTGCTAACTCCATGAGGACATAGTTATACTAATGAAATGAAAATTGTAACAGCACATTTATTGAGCATTTATTATGCGCCAGGGCCTATTGCAGCCCTCACAATAGCACTCCGAGGTGGGGATTATTACTACCATCCCTGTGTTACAGATGTGAAGACCAAAGCACAGTTAGGTTATGCAGTGGGGCCTCCCTGTGGCTGTGGGAGGGGGCTGCCCTCACCTTGGACTTCTGCATCGTCTCCACGCTGGCATTGAGGTCGTCGATCTCAGCCTTCATCACCTGCTTGTCCTTCTCCAGCTTGGACTTGATCCTCTGTAGGCTCTCCATGTGCTCCGTCAGCTCGGCCATGGAGTCTGTGTGCTTCTTGCGCAGCGTGGAGGCTGTGGCCTCGCTCTGCAGGGCCGCCTCCTCCAGCTCACGCCGCAGCTTCAGCAGCTTGGCCTCCTGCTTGCGGTTCTGCTCAATCTAGGGTAGGGGAGCAGCAGGGCTCAGCAGAACGAGCTAGCCTGGCCTCCTTGGGGTGGACACTGCCCACCTGCTCGCTGGTCCCCTGGTAATCCTGCTCCTCACTAGAAGTCCTGACTGAAATGTTATTCCTTAGCCTTTGGACACGTTGCGCATAGGATTTGTTTAGGTAGTGTTGTGTGTTGAATCATGCCGCATAAAAAGATATATCCAAACCCTAACCCCAGGCACCTGTGAGTATGACCTTATCTGGAAATAGGGTCTTTGCAGACATAGTTAGTTAAGATGTCATACTCGATTAGGGTGGACACTAATCCAGTGACAGATGTCCTTTTAAGAAGAAGGAAATTTGGGCCTAGAGAGACACCCAGGGAGAAGGCCCTGTGACTATAGAGGCAGAGATTAGAGTGATTTGTCCAGCTGAGGCACACCAAGAATTGCTGGCAGCTGCCAGGAGCTGGGAGAGGGGCCTGGAACAGACTCTCCCTCAGAGCTCCAGAAGGAACAACCCTTCTCACACCCTGATTTCAGATTTCTGGCCTCCAAACTGTGAGAGAATACAGTTCTGTTGTTTTAAGCCATCCGGTTTGTGATAATTTGTTATAGCAGCCCTGGGAGACCAACACAGATAGCAACTCTTGCCTTGTGTATTTCTCTCCTTCGCCTGTATATAACTTCTAGATCCTCTCTACAACAAATGCAGACCATGGGCTGGGGCACCAGCATCACCTGGGAGCTCATCAGAAATGCAGAGTCCATAACCAGAGCCCTTGAACTAGAATCTGCATTTTAATGATATCCCCACGACCCACGTGCCCCAGAACCAGTGTTCCAGCCATTTTCAGGCACTGGCCATTCCCTGCTTGCCTCTCCAACTGTCCATTCTCCACCCAGGTCCCTCCATAACTCCAGCTCCTGCCGGGCAGCCCCTCCTCCCTGGCTCTGGCTCTCACAGCCCCATAACCCTACATCCTCTTGTCCCTTTGGTCCAGGGGCAGTAATGGCCCCCTGGTGCCAGTCTCTGGTGCCCTCCTATTCTCTTAACCCTCCCTACACTGCTAGCAGTAGTCCCTTTGTTCATGCCTCATCATTCAAACCATTGGAATGATTTTGTTTCCTGCCAGGACCCTGACCACAGCTAGGTACCAGCTTCAGTTCTGGACACACACCCCCAGTGAGAGGACAGTGGCCAGGAAGGTGAGGAAATGGACATAGAGTCCAGGAAGCAACAGATAAAGGAAGCTCTGCTGTCCAGCAACAGGGAAACACCCATCGTGCCTTGTGCTGTGCCTGAGGGTCTGCATTGCAGGAGAGCTGACTACATGCAATTAGGAGAAGGTTGTGTGGTTTCTGCTGGTCCCCAGGACACCATCATGTGAATCAAAGAAGCCGAAGCTCTACACCAGGAGGCGAGGCTCTAACTCCAGCCCCCCATACACCTTGGTGTATGGGGCAGTGGGGTTACTCCACTGTATTAACATATTAACTCTGTCTTTATTTTCTGTATTCTGATGCTTTGACATCTGGGGTCTTGCTGACGTTGCAGGGACCGCCCCCCACCCCGCCCCACTCCCCACCACACAAGGGATAGCCAATTCCTAGAGATAGCAAACAGCTCACCCTGGAGTGTGTTATTCACATCCAAACCAGCCAATCTAGAACCCACAGGGCAACCACCTCTATGGGGCTCTCACATTCATTTGGGGTCACGATCCACCTACCCTAATCACTCCAGGGCCAAGTACCAAACAACTGGGGACAGCCCCTGTGCCCCAGAGCTACTGAGATTACTCAAACTGGCCAGTCCTAAGCCAGTTTCCTCTGCCTTGCCTGTTCCTTGCCATAGAGACCACGGGAAAGGCCCTTGCCCACATTTCCCCTTCACACGCCCACACCCCCTTCCTGGCCAAGTCCAGTGCTCCACAGGGAATACCAACCCCTCCTCGTGGAACTGTGTGTAACAAACTATCTTTTCAAAGGCAGGTGTCTCCTGATATGTTGGCCTTACTACACTTCACATTTTCTATTAATACGCTGTATTTAAACACCTGCCCTCTGCATCCAGTCTGTCTCCTGCTTCCATGAACGTGACTGAGCTACAGAGCCCCAGCAGAAAGTGAACTGAACAGCCCCTCCCACACCTACTCTTTATTATTAGTTGGTTTCTCCTCAAGTTAGTCTCAGGACCTCAGCAAGAACTGGTTTTTATCCCACTGTTTGCAGCCCAGCATTTTTTTTCCCTGAAGGCAGTATTGTGGGTTCCTGGCCCCCCAGGATGGGTACCTGAGCAGATGTGGCTCCACCAGCTTCCTCCAGCCTGTCGCTGAGGTCTTTGAGGTCCCGGGACAGGTCGCTGCGTTGTTTCTCCACCTGGGATTAGGTTTAATTATACTGACGGAAGCCAGCCAGAGCTCCTTTTTCTCCAGTAAAGAGCACAGTGACCACATCATGTCTGAGAAGCTAGGGCCTGCACTTGGGGAGCCTTGTGCTCTGTCTGCCATCCACAGGCTCAGTGAAGGACACTGTGTGTCCTCCCCACACTGGGCGGGTGTCAGTGCCCACCTTACTGCACTGTCCAATTTTGCTAAATCTGGAGGTTAGGCACATTATTATGTGTCTCCCACCAGCTTTCTGGCTTCACTACCCTGTAGGAGCCCCACCCTCAAGCCCCCGTCAACGCTTTGCTCTTTCTAACACACGCTTTCTCCTTTTACACCTTTGTCCCTGTGAAGGTAGGTGCCATTACGTTCCCTTTGCCTAGAAATTCCTCCGTGCATCAACCTGTTGAATTCAATCCTTGAGGTCAAATGTTTCCTCCTCCACCTGCCCCAAGTAGACCAGCCTTTTCTCCTCTGGACTCACCCACCTGTGGTATCCTTGCCTTGCACATCCTCATGCATGTAGGTATGTAACACAGTGCCTGGCACACACTGGGTGCTCAAGAAATGACTAGACTTTTTTTTTTTTTTTTTTTGAGACAGAGTCTCACTCTTTTGCCAGGGCTAGAGTGAGTGCCGTGGCGTCAGCCTAGCTCACAGCAACCTCAAACTCCTGGGCTCAAGCGATCCTTCTGCCTCAGCCTCCCGAGGAGCTGGGACTACAGGCATGCGCCACCATGCCCGGCTAATTTTTTTTTCTATATATTTTTAGTTGTCCAATTAATTTCTTTCTAATTTTAGTAGAGACAGGGTCTCGCTCTTGCTCAGGCTGGTTTCGAACTCCTGAGCTCAAACAATCTACCCGCCTCTGCCTCCCAGAGAGCTAGGATTACAGACGTGAGCCACCGCGCCCAGCCATGACTAGACTTTTTGATTGGACACCTGTCCTCTCTATTGGTTTTCTGAGTGGGAGTTTCTACTGATGGTGGGATGTGTGGCTGTCATTAGGTCCTTTGACTCAAGACGGGGTAAAAGCATTTTGCTTACCTTGGCTCTCATTGCCCTCTCAGCTTCCAGTTCTTCCTCCAGCTCTTCAATTCGGGCCTAGAGGACACACAAGAGACAGATAAGGGAGATTCATCTCTCCCAAGAAAAGTTACAAAGTCACCCACTTGGCCTTTTAGGATGGAAAATAGGAACAGGAACTTATGATGGCCATGGTCAAAGGCAGAGAGAAGCAGGTCCCAGAGAGCATGTGCAAAGGCTCTGAGGCGGAAGGAACCTGGCACGTGTGAGACCCAGCAAGGGCACGCATGGCTGGACAGAGTGGTGGTGGAACAGGGGTGATAAGGTCAGGGAGGGAGCAGAGGTTGGATGGCGGAGGGCCTCGTAACCACTGTGAGGAGTTTGGATTTGACCCTCAGTGAGGTGAACACAGGTTGATCTCCAAGGACTCCATGGCAGTCTTGTTTCTCAGGAAACCTCAGCAGCCAATTAGCTGCTGTAAACTAAGGGTGCAGAGAAGTGCATTCCAAAAGGAGATTATAGGCTTCTCAGTCCTGGACATACCTGGTGTCCCTTTAGTTTCCGCTGCAGTGTGGAGTTCAGAGACTGCTCATCCTCATGTTTAGAATTGATAGAATTTATTTCCATGTCTCTCCTGCAAGGGAAGGTTTGGTCTCCTAAGGAAAGGCTCTGAGGGTGGACCAGTGAGCTGGTGAGGGAATGGTGCCTGGGCTGCCAGAGGAGGCCTTGGACCTGCCAAAACCCACCATCTCCCAGACCCTGGCCTCTGGGGTGACACCCACGGAGCAGCACACCCCAGAATCTGGTCCATGGGCTTTCACCACTTACTCACTCATTCATTCCTTCACACATTTACTGTTTTGGGCTCCAGGTACACATCAGTGAACAAATAGGACAGAAATCACTGCTCTGGTGCAGCTTACATCCCAGGGGCTCCAGAAACAGTGATGCTTTGCCTTTTTAGGAAAAACTTTTCCTCCAAAAACTTTCCACAAAAGGCTCTGTCTCCTTCAGATGTGTGAGCTCCACATTCAAGGAGCCGCGTGTGAGAACTAAGATCTCAGAGACTGAGCAGATGAGGAGGACGGGCAGAGTCGCACACATTATCTGTGTGTGCCACAGAAGAAATGTGCCGAGATACAGACCTAGCTGCACACACTCCTCATCAAGGTCTCTGGTGTTTTAAAACTGCCTTCGTCAAGTATACTTCCAAAGTGCACTGTCCAAATTCTCCCTCAAAGTTTTCCTTGTTTGAATCCTCCTTGTCTCCATCCTCTCTGCCACTTACTTAATTCAGGTTTTCACCTGGACCACGGCAACAGCCTCACAATTTCTTCCTGCCTTCGGTTTTCTCCACCTGTCCTCATGTTATTGCCAGAGTGTTATTGATAAAATACACCATCAACTCCTTGTTACCTCTGAGAGACCAATTCGTAGGTTTCTGTGAAGTCTCCCTGCCCTGCTTAGGCCTCAGCATTCCAAGCACTGCTCGTATACTTTGCGCCAGGCACAGGGCTGGCACACAGCAGGTACTCGGGACACGCATTAACGTATGCGAAGCCCACAGCACCTAGGACCGGGCACCATCCAGGAAGCTCCAGCTATTGCTAACATGGTGACAGACAAAATGAACAATGATGCAGGCATACTTTTTCACCACTTCCTCGAGATCCATCTTGGAGCGCTCCATCTCATTGAGGTTGTTGGTGGTCATCTTCAAGTCGCTCTCAGCTTTCCGGTGAGCCTTTTCCACCTCTGCCCGGATTTTCTTTTCCTGCTCCCAGTTATCCTCCAGGTACAGCAACAAGCAAAGCAAGAGATGGTATGGAGGAGGGGAGTCTCAGGCAAGAAAGAAGCTGACTGGGCCTGGTCCCTTAGCTGTGGCATCAGAAAGGCCCTCACACCCCAGGGCATGTGTCAGTCTAGGTTCCAAAACTTATCTGAGCACCCTGTGCCCCAGAATGGACCTGGCCCTTGAGTTATAGAAATGTCCCCAGCAACAGGTGTTACCTCATGGATCTGGGTGCTCAGCTTGCTGTTGTTCTTGGTGAGGTGGTTCACCTTGTCCTCCTCAGCTTGCAGGTCATCCAGGGTTTTCTGGAAGGAAAGATACACACATGTGTCCCACTAGGCACTGCAGGGGCAGCTGAAAAGGCCTGGTCCTCAGTCATCACTTCTGAGTTGTGCAGCCCCCAGGCTTTGGGAGGTTGAGTTGAATTCAGTGAGTAGTTACTGAGCACCTGCTCCTAGGTGCTGGCTGCGGCCAGGGCAGACAGACCCGAGCACCCATCAGGGGGTCATTCGGAAGCTCTGGTTCTCCAGTGGGCATATCGGAAATCTTTTCTTTTCTTTTTTCTTTTAGCTAGCTTTTGCAAACCAGGCATATTGCAAATCGGTGGGGTGCTTCTGGCTGTCACAGTGACTGGAGGCCCCACTGATGTTTAGCGAGTGACTCCAGGGATGCTGGATATCCCACCTTGCTCTGGACAATCCGGCACCATGGTGACTAGTTCTGCAGTCCACATGCCTGATGTCCCACCCAGGCATTCATGTAAGTGAAACAACCATTTATGCTCTTCTGAACCTAGAACCCAGCACCACTTTACATGTAGCTCAACATTCTTTTTCATTTAGTATGAACTACATTTTAAGAGAATGATCTACCATGAAAACTGAGACATTTATTATTATTCAAAATTTCCCCAAGGGTTATTCACTATTTTGTAAAATCGCATCCCTGACTGCAGCCACACCCTCCTGCGCCGTTGCCTAGTCCATCTGCCTGAGCTTGTTTCTACACGTTGACAACTGCTATTTATTCTAAATTGTTTTTCATCCATTTCTCCTTTATATCAAAGGGCATGCTGTTGATTTTTTGAAGTTACGCATTATATTTATAATTTTTACTTTGGGATAACAAGAGGGCATTGCAAAATACAGTTGATTCTCATTATTTGTGGATTCTCTATTGTGGATTCACTTACTCACTAAAAGGTATTTTAATCCCAAACCAATAATCATGGCGCTTTCATGGTTATTTGCAAATATGTACATGGTGGGGAAAATTTTGAGTCGCCCAATACACACATTCCCAGCTGAGTTTGAACAAGCTGATGCTCTGCCTTCTCATTTCAGCTCTCAAACTATGAATGTCATTTTTATGCTCTACTTAATGCCATGTTTTTTACTTTTTCTTTTTTTTGCTTTTTATTGGTAATTTTGCTATTTAAAGTGGCCCCCAAGCATATTCCTGAAGTGCCATCTAGTGTTCCTAAGCATGAGAAGGCTGTAGTGAGCCTTACTCCAAAAATATATGTTAGATAAGCTTCTTTTAGGCATGAATTATAGTGCTACTGGCCGTGAGTTCAAAGTCAATGAATCAACATTATATATCAAATAAGGTGTCTTTCAAAAGAAACACACATAAAACAAAGTGATTTGTTGATCGTAATCATATGTATTATGAATTGATTGGTTGATGAAAATGTTATGGCCAGAGGCATATAGGAACCTAACCCTATATTTCCCCTAGGAGCAGTGGTTGGTATTTGCTAATTCAGTATTTGTTAATTCAGTGTTTGTGGCAACTTTACAGAACTACTGTGCATAACAAGAACCGATTGTATTTGTTATAAAAGGGGGCCTTGGGTCTGATATGATTGAGAATCACAGCCTAAGGGAGGCAGTTCCAGAGGCAGTAGAGAGAGGAGATGGGGGACATGCTGTGGATTCATGATGTCAGCAAACACAGGGACAAGTGTCCAGCTCTTGGCTTTGACCTGTTCTTTGCACCTGTGTCACTAGAGGTCAGCACTGGTGGCTGGTCAGAGCTGGCTCTGCATTCAGGAGCCTGAGCCATAAAAGCAGCCTTGGGAAAGTAGGGTGGGTCTCCTCATGACCTCACGAGCTCGTGGCTGTTGTTGCCATGGTGCATTAGGGTCCCCTGGGCTTTGGAGCTCATGGGGCACTTCCATACATCCCACCGCATACCTACCACTCTGGTGACCATACCTCTCAGTGTACCTGGGCACAACCTGACTCATAAGTATTAACAGCTCCCCTTTTCGCTCTCAAAACTGTCCTAGTTTAGAAGATAAATTATATGGTCACCCTACTTATAACACACCTGGAAGGAAGGCAGCAAGACATGACCACACCCACTTCACTGATGAGGGAATTGAGATTTAGGGAGATTCCTTGACTTCCCTAAGGCCCCCAGCTGAGGGGCAGCAAAGCCAGGATTTGAATGCCGGACTCCAGTCTCCACATGCAAAACACATTGTACAAAGCTCCACCCGCTCTGCCGAGGAGAGATGCAGGGAAACCTACCTGGTGCAGCTCCTCCAGGGCCCTCTTCTCCTTCTGGAGTTTGGCAATAGAGTCTTCACGGAGCGAGAGGTCCCCGCTCAGGGCGCGGACCTTGTGATCCAGGGCCTGGAAACCCGGGTGAGGAGAGAGATGGGTCCTTAAGGCTGGAAACAGCCTCCATAGGAAGGAGAGGGAGGTCCTCAGCTTGGCGGCACCCTAGAGTCTCCTGGGAACTTAAGAAATGCCAACACCCAGGGCATGTCCCAGACCAACTAAGTCAGAATCTTAGGGGTGTTGGGGAGCAGTGGGAACCACCAGTTTAGGGCTTTGCTGCACAAAGAATGGTCCCCAGACATTAGCAGTGGCATCGCCTGGGAGTGTGCTAGAAACACAGACCCTTGGGCCCTGCCAGACCTGCCAGCCCAGAGTCTGCACCTTGTTGGTATCCCCGGTGGTTTGTGTGCCCAGCAAAGTTGGAGAAGCACAGGTTTAGGCAGAGGTCACCTTACCCTGCTCGTGAGCTCCACCCACCTGTGACAGAAGGAAGGGATCAGGGCTTCCCCAGGGAGCTGCTCAGAGGGCAGCAACTGCTTATTTGGGCAGAAATCCAACAGCTAAACATGACCCCTTCTCCATGACAGTAACAGCTCCCAGTCGCCTTAGTCAGCTGCTCTGTACAGCAGAATTTTCTGCAGTAATGGACATGTTCTCTGCCTGTGGCACTTAACACACGTGGCTCTGAGCACTCAGAATGTGGTTAGTGCAACTAAGGAGCTGCATTTTAAATTGTATTGCATTAATTGAAGTTAAAATAGCCCCACGTGACCAGTGGCTGGGGCACTGGGCATCACCACGGTGGAGGCTCCTGCAGGCAGGGGTGCCCTGGCCTGAGAGGAGCGTGGTAGGACCCAGGCAGTCCTCACCTGCTTCTCCTTCTCTGTCTTGGCCAGCGTGGTTTCCAGGCCCTCTAGGTCCCTCTTCAGGTCACTCAGCTCCCCCTCCAGCCTGCGCTTGGCAGTGCTCAGCGAGGCTGCTGTGCCCTCTTCCTCCTCCAGCCGCTCCCACATGTCTGCGATCTGCCTCTCCAGCTCCATCTTGGTCTTCATCATTTGGGTCAGGCACTCCTCTGCATCCATCAAGTTCTCTTGCTCCTGTTGGAAGAAAGAGCCCCGGTCAAAGGCAGGTACCAGGTACCTGCGAGGAACCCAAACACCATCACCAAGACGGCAGACAAACCTTGGGCTGACAATCTCTGAAAAAATGTATCCTGGGGTGAACAAGGGAGCGGGCTATCTCCAAGCTCCTTTTGCGATGTGCGTGACAAAGCGTAGTCTAGGAGGGTGGTCTGGAACCAGCAGCATCACTTGGACACAAAATCTTAGGGTCTACCTGAGACCTGCTGCATCTGACTCTGCATCACCCCAGCTGATCAGCTGCACCTTTAGGTGTTGGCAGGTGGTCTAGGGACCTTGATCAAGTCTCTAAATGTCCACCAAACTGGGTTTTCTACCCTATATGAGACATGTGAAAACCGGGTGTCCTACGGGATGGCTGTGAGGGTCAAATCAGGGAAGGGACAGGAGAAGCTTTGGGAACCAGAAGGATGCCAGCAGCAGATGCACCGCAGGGCATTTAGTTGCCACCCTACAGAAACTGTCGTTTATTCTTCCCTGCTGAGTTTCCGCTTGACAGAGGAGGAAAAGGAGGTGCAGGGAGGGTAAGTTGCCCGGTTCACACGGCAGAGCCAAGCTCTGACTCCAGGGGGTGCTCTTCCCACCACATCGCCCCACCATCCCTGGACTTTCCTCACAGGCGGGGCCTGTGGCTGTGTGCCCAGCCCACGGTTGTGTGGAAATAAGAATATGATGGAGACTTTCTGGTGGTTGGGTCAAGGGTGACATGGTAATGAAGGAAAAGGGAAGGCTGGGGAATGTCCCTGTGGTCCGGAGGGACATGGCTTTTTAGAAGAACTCACCCTTCCTCCCTCCCCACCAAGGCCCCTGAGCCTCCCGCCCTTCTCCCTGAGGACCCCACATATAGCCTGCAGTTGGATGGTGAGGTCATTCTTCTCCTGGCTGAATGTGGCCATCTTCTCCTCCAGTTCCTTGACTTTGTTGAGCAGCTCCTGGGTCTTGGCCATGGCACTTCTGAGCTCCTCCTCCTTGGCTTTCATCTCCTCCTCTTGCCGAGCCACATTCAGGAGTGGCTTGACCTGGGTGATGAGCAACACCAAAGAGTGTTAGGAGGGTGAGTTTGCCAGGGGGATAGGTGGTGGGCTGTGGGGTGTCTGCTCAGACTTGACCTCACAGCAACATGGTGGTGGGAAGCAGCTCTTGCTGCATCTCTGCGGGTGGAGTCTCTCCACAGGTGCCATCTCTCAGGCTGAGCTCCTTGCCTTAAAGCATCCCTAGCCCCCCTAGCCTCGACAGAGAAGGTCCATTGTCACTCAGGACCAATTCTTAGGATGCTCTTTAATCTCAAAGACACAGAGTTAGGTGTTTCTCAGCATCTAGGGTAAAACAGCAAAAGACCCAGGCCAGCTGTGTGGCTTATGGTGTTATGTGGCATTTTACTGAAATTCACTTCTCTGCCTGAAAAATAAGGGAAATCATTATCATGAGGTTTAAAGGGATGGAACACTCAATGGCACTTCTACAGATGGAAGATTCTTTCATCACTGTGGTCTCACCCAGCCTTGGCCTCCAAAAACCCAAAAAATAGGGATATCAGCTCAAGTAGCTTTTCAGGGGCATAGAGAGAATACAGAGAAATGATGTTGGTGGCAGCTTTGGGCACAGCGCAAGTGCCACACTGTCATGGCAGCAGAGACGGCTGTGGCACAGCATGAAGGACCAAAGATGGAATGCTTACATCTGTTCCGTACATTGTGTGTACATCAAGAGCCCTGGTGAAATGCACAACTTTGGGTCCCTTCCCTTTCTTCCTTACTGATTTCTCCTTTCTGTCTCTCTATCTCTGCCTCTCTCTGTCTGTTTTTCACTCATGCTGTGTCTCTAGCTCTGTCTTTCTTTTTTTTTGAGACAGAGTCTCACTCTATTGCCCTGGCTAGAGTGCCGTGGCATCAGCCTAACTCACAGCAACCTCAAACTCCTGGGCTCAAGCGATCCTCCTGCCTCAGCCTCCCGAGTAGCTGGGACTACAGTCACGTGCGACCGTGCCTGGCTAATTTTTTCTATTTTCAGTTGTTTGACTAATTTCTTTCTATTTATAGTACAGACGGGGTCTCACTCTTGCTCAGGCTGGTCTTGAACTCCTGAGCTCAAGCAATCCTCCCGCCTCGGCCTCCCAGAGTGCTAGGATTACAGGCGTGAGCCACCGTGCCCAGCCATCTGTCTCTCTTTTTGTCTGTCTCTCTGTTGCTCTGTCTCTCCCTCTCTCTCTATTTCTATCTCTCATTCTCTCTCTGTCCCTCTTATCCCCCCACTTCTTTCACTTTCTCTGCAACATGAAGTCCCAACTCTCACTGTGGCCTTGTAGGCCTTCCACAGTGCAGCCCCTGCTCACTCCCTGTGCTGGCTCAGCTGGTACTTCCTGCCTGTGGCCTGTGGCCCTATTGCCCCCATGTTGTAGTGCTGGCCTTCTTTGCCATTTGGCAGGGAGCAGTCGCTCCTCTTCTGCACTCACAGCATCCATCTGGACCTCTTGATGCGTTTGGGACTTCTCAGTCTGCATCAGAGTGCCAGGGTCTGCCAGATCCCATAACCCATATTCCTATGCCCTGTGTCTGCAAGTCCCTCAGAGATCTCCCTCTGCCCCCTCAGGTCTCTACAACACTGAGCAGAGCCTATGGAACACGACCTCTGGGAAAATTTCCTGAGTCAAAGGATACATTTCTGAGAGGGACAAATGCTATGCACTTGGATTTGGGAGGAGAGATCACCTCTCTTAGAAGATAACAGATAAACCTTGATCATTGCCAGCCTGGCCGCTGGGGATCTGCGATGTCACAGTGGCAAAGTTTGCAAGAAAAGGTTGCAATAAGTACCACAACTTGCAACTGTGTAACACATTTTATTCAGCGGACGCCTGCTGCAGGTGTTTTCTTCCACTGACTCAATCCTCTCCGGCTTTGTTAAATAAGGTTAGAGCCTTGATAAAAAACTGAAAGGAAAGGTTTTGTTTTTTTTCACTAATTAGAACAGGACCTTGCTCTGTCACATCTAATTAGTAAAGAGCAGGGAAGTTTACATCTCTTGCCACTGTGTCCTGCACAGAAGCAATCTTAAAGGCTGTTGGTCTGGGTCTTCCCAAAGTGTAACTCATACATCGTGGCGACTGGTGAGATGCATTCAAGCGTTATGTAGTAGAAACTCTTCGATGTGAGGTGTTAGTTACATAGTTACTTTAATAGGCAATTTTAAAAAAGGAAAAGAACTCATCAAATCCACAATTTTGTGGATAACATTTGCTTAGGATGAGATTAAAGCAGGTAAGGATATGAAGTTTTCTTTTAAAATAAAATTTTTGAAATAAAAAAAGGTGAATTGATGCAAAGAAGGTCAGTCACAGGACACGTGGTGAAAGCCAGGCAGTACCAGCGACAACTGGCCTTTAAGAGCAGCTCATCCAGATTCCTCTCCAGTCTCAGGCCCTCCAGGGGACTGGCCTGGCTGTGATACCTTTGGGGATGCAGGACTTACTGTCCCTCCCTTTCCATTTGTGGTCAGCACTGATTGTTAGTGAGTTCTTTCCTATTGGGAATGGAAAGAAGCTTCTTTGTGAGCTATGAAGGACTCAGGGCCACCCAAGATGACTCAGAGCCTGTCCCCACCCCCTGCGTGGCTGCCCCAAACAACACTGTCCTGTTTCTTGAACACAGCTTCCTGTGTCTGGCCTCCCTCCTCTGGTGCCCAGGGGCATGTTCCCTCTTACTGGTGGCCCCAGCCCTGTCATGACTGGACCCCCATGCAGTGGGATGGCTCACGGCCTCCTGCATCGGCTGAGGGTGGCCTGGCTGCTCAGGGCATCTGCAGCCCTCCCAGCTGGCTGACCCACACTGCCCTCACTGCTGTCTTGGAAGAACTTGGAAAATGAGAGGTTGGACCCCATATTTCTTGAGGTCCCTCCAGCTTTGAGGCCAAGGACTCACTGAAGGAGCTGAAAACGCCTCAATAAGCCCAAGGGCAGGGGTCAATGGCCAAGCCCACTCTTTCTGGTGGGGCGGTGTGGCTCTCTCTATCCCTTTTTTTTTTTCCTCCGTATGTCCCCTCACTCTGTCCCTCTTAAGTGGATTTTATTTTGAGGGATGAGATGGAAGGTGGAAGACACACCATGATTTTTCTCAGTGGGTATTAGCCCCTGTCTGGAAGAAGACTAGACTCCTTCCCCTCCAAGGTACCCTCATTTTCACACTGTTACTGTGGCCCCCAACCCACAGGCAGCAGCAGTCCCGGCTGGCCTGGCCCTTTGGCCCCCACCTTGTTGTAGAGCTTCCACCAGCCCCAGAAATGCAGCTGCAGGAACTTGCGCATGTTCTGCTGAACGACTTTCAGGCCAATTCTGCAAAAAGAATCGGGATTGCATGGGTTAAAATGAAGGTGTCAGGATCTGGCTTCCCTGGGGAGGGGAGTGGGCAGGAAATGGAAGCCAGTAGATGTACTTTGAGCAGACACAAAAATGCTTTCTCAAGACCCCACGTTGCCCATGTGGTCCGGGGCAGAAAGACTCAGGCTGGAGCCAGAGCTCAGCAGTGGGTTAAGGGAGCAGAGATGGAACCTGGTGGAACCAGGTCCCTCCCAGATGGCTGAGACAGACCAATCATTTACTCCTGCATTTTCCCTCCTTCTGATCCTTCACCAGAAATCACCCATTAGTCTCTAAATCCTAGATCTGCAAAATCTTTGGAATCTGACCCCTTCTTGTTCCCCTGCAGCTTCATTCAAATGTCATTGACTGAAGATCCCACCATGCACAGAGGCCCTGGGCTGGATCGGGCCGACATCCCTCACGTCAGCCCCTGACTGGTGTCCCTGCCTTCAGTCCAGGGTCTTGGATGGCCTGCTAGTGAGTAGCAGGTATTCTAATTCTACAACCACAAAGAGCCAGAGGCAACCACAGGTCATCTGGGATGGACACAGCAATTTTTAAGTTACCGTGTTAGGGAAATGGCTGAAAACATGATTCCAAGGGCAGGGATTTAGAGCGAGAAATCCTGGGTTCTAATCCTGACTGCATGATGCTGGCCCGGTTCTTTAACCCCTCTGGCCTCAGTTTCCACATCGGTAAAATGGGGGATGCTGGCCTTGCCACATCGCTCTCACAGCATGATCACATGGACCGAGTAAGGGGAAGCCTGTGAAAGTGACTTGAAACTGTAAAGAAAAAGATTTATGTTAGCTGGTCCCTATAAGGGGTTGAATTGTGTCCTCGCAAAAGATATGTTGAAGTCCTAACCCCCAGTACCTGTGAATGTGACCTTATTTGGAAATGCAGTCATTTCAGATGGAATTAGTTAAGATGAGGCCATACTGGGGTGGGGTGAACCCTAATCCAATATGGTGAGGTTCTTATAGAAAGAGGGAAGATGATGTGAAGACACAGACACGTGGGGAGAACATGTGTGAAGACAGAGGCAGGGATTGGAGTGATGCAGCCACAAGCCGAGGGACACCGGGGGCCACCAGGGCTGGCAGTGGCAAGAAAGAATCCTCCCCTAGAGGCTTTGGTGGGAGCACAGCCCTACCAACCCCCTGACTTTGGACTTCTGGCCTCCAGAACTGTGAGACGATAAATCCCTGTTGTTTTAAGCCACCCAGCGTGTAGAACTTGGTCACAACAGCCCTAGGAGACTGATATAGGCCCCACACACGGTCTCTGGGCCAGCAAAGACATTGATGCCCACCACTCCCTCACCACACGGTGTGGCTAATGGAGCTGACCCCTGTGTGGGAGGCATGTGTGTGGCTTCAGCAGTCCCCTGTCACTGTGTGTGAGCGCTACCTTCGTTCCAGCATCTTCTTAAACTTGACCCTAATGAGGAAACCCCGGAGCCGACACTGCAGCATCGTCATGATCTTGGCCAGACGCTCGTCCCGCATGTCCTCAAGCTTGGCCCGGATGCCCGCACGGAAGAACACCTGGGGGAAAGAGGCACCCCTCTGAAAAAAGCCCAGCTGTCACCCAATGGCAGCCACTTGAGGGAGTTTTAAATAAAGAAACCAGAGGGTCAGAAGGGTCCTTAAAAGTTAAGGTACCCAATCTGGTGCTGATGCCTGGGGCCAGAAGGAAACAGCTGGCCCCAGCCTGGACACCTCCAGCAGCAAGGCACTCACTGACAGCCTCAGCCTCAAGCTCTTCTTGCTAGGGTGCACCCCAGATCCGCCTAGCGCCATGCTGGGTGCCAGCCCTGGCCTTGCACTTACTAGCTGGCTCAGCTTGGACACATCTCAGAGCCTCAGTTCCTTATCTGTGAAAGGGGATGCCCATCCCTCTCTCAGAGGGTTGCTGTAAGGATTAAATGAGATAATTGGTGGAAAAGTTCTGTGAAGTTCTAATTGAAGTGTGGTAGATCATCATAGTCCTCATGTTATGGTGATTGCCGTGCGGCCAGGGTGGCAAGGGGCCTTCCTTCCTTGCCACCGTGTAGAGCAGTGTTTAGACAGAGTCACTCCATCATGGCCCCACAGGATCTGGGTGTGGGGAGAGGGGATAGTGACAAGTGGGGTTCGGGTGGGGGTGGGTGACTTTCTCAGAAGACAGAGTTACTACTGCTACATAGTTTCAGCTTCGAGCTGGGGTGTGAGGGGGACTCACCCAAGGAAAGCAAGACTGGCTTTGCAATGAGTGTTAGAAAGTGTTGGAAACACCCAGCCTCAGGGAAATGCAAATTAAGGTCCCAAGATACCATTTACCCCTCCCCACACTTGTAACATTTCCAACTTCTGATAAAACAAGTGTTGGCATGGGTATGGAACAAGGGGAGGGCAAATTGGTATAGGAATTTTGGAAAATGGATTGGCATTCCCTCGTCAAGTTGGATATTTGTCACCTGCAATAGGCAGCTGTCCTCCCATATATCTCAGCCTGGGCTGCTCAAGACACCTGCCTGAAGGGCTTTTGAAAAATGCAAATGCCTGGGCATAAGGAATTTCAAACAATTCCTGGGGCGGGGCTCAGGCACTGGAGTTTTTAAAATCTCCCCACATGTTACTAATATACAACCAAGGTGGAGGACTTTGTTCTAGAGAAACTCTGACATAGGACCATGGGCAAGGATGCTCATGGCAGCACTGCAATACGATGTGGCTGTGACAATGAACGAATGTCACGAATCAACAAGGACAACCTCAGAAACAGAATTAACCAATGAAAGCATGTCACTGAAAAATGCCACAGAAGAATGTTAAATATGATATTTCCATGAAACTCAAAACCAAACAAAACCTTGGATTGTATACACATGTGAGAAAACTGATTTTTAAAAGGTAAGGGAATAGTTAACATAATAATTTAGGACAAGGCCGGGCGTCTGGGAGGCCGAGGCGGGCGGATTGTTTGAGCTCAGGAGTTCGAGACCAGCCTGAGCAAGAGTGAGACCCCGTCTCTACTAAAAATAGAAAGAAATTAATCGGACAACTAAAAATATATAGAAAAAATTAGCCGGGCATGGTGGCGCATGCCTGTAATCCTAGCTACTTGGGAGGCTGAGTAGGATCGCTTGAGCCCAGGAGTTTGAGATTGCTGTGAGCCTAGGATGACGCCACGGCACTCTAGCCCGGGCAAAAGAGTGAGACTCTGTCTCAAAAAAAAAAAAAAAAATAATAATTTAGGACAGGTATTACTGCTGGGGGTGGGGAGGAAGGGGAAGAAAGATGTGCAAAGATTATATTCTGGGCTTTTAACTGGGTTTGTGGGCACTCACTTTATTATTATGTCTCATAATGTAAAATCTTTTTACATGCTTCAGGTAGGACATGATAGAAACTTTTAGAAGGATAGAAGGTGCCAGGAGACCTGCATTCTGGCCTCAGCCTGCCTTCGATGAGTTATGTGTGTTTCCTTGGTCAAGTCACTTTCCTTTAGGGGCCACAGAGAGTACAACTGCAGGGCCCCCATGACCTCCCAGCTGCTGGAGCCTGTGATTCTGCACGTGGGGGCAGGGAGCAGAGCCCCCAGCTGAGTCCCTATGGGGAAAGGATGGAAAAGAATGCTCCTGCCTCCTTGCACCCCCCACACTGCAAGAAAAACCTCCCAAGGAGTTAGACATCACAAGGTAGAGAAATCAGGCTTGGATTTGTAAAATGTTTCTTGACATTTCAAAATTAATTGGTGTTGAGGTTTGATCTTTGAGGCAAGCATGGGGTTGGGGCCCACCTGAGCCAACACCAAGGACAGGGACACCATTTATAGGCAGAGCCATCTTTGTTCTGCCCCTGCCACCAGAACCTCAGGGAGCAAAGCTGTCCTCAGAAGCACTGGCCTTCCCTGGGACCTGCAATGCCTAATGCAACCCTTGAGCAACAGCAGGATGTAGTGCATTTGCCCAGATGGTAGCTGTGGCAGAGTCTGGAGATACCAGCTCTGGCTTCCAGGCCACATGACCAGCAGTGGTGGGCCTGACACCAACTAGCTCTGTTCTGCTTGGTTCTGTGAAGTGGAGCATGTCACCTCCACCTTCTTGCCAGGCTTTCTGAAGCTTTCCATCTGTCAAGGGTGGGTGGGGAGAGAGGGGGCCTGCTGGTTTCCAAGGTTCTTTCGAGCTCAAGTATTCAATGATTCTGTGACAAAACCTCAAGTGCTTCCTGTAAATCAATCTAGCTGTACACAGCACATCTTAATTGTGAAGGAGGCCAAAGCAAACAGTTCTGGCAGGTTCTAGAAGAGTGTTACAATTCTGCAAAGTGTTATAAAGCAAGGAGCTAGGGACTCGTTCTCTTCTCTTTGTGGTATATCCCTAGAGCCTGGAACCATGCCTGGCACACACTCCGTAAGCATTTGCCAAGTGACCAGATGTGTTGGAGGAATGTGCACCCTGGGAGCTTCCACGCCAGGCCTGCATCACACATGAGACTTGGAGAGGAAAATAATCTGCTCTAGGCTGTACAGACACTCCTGTCTGCAAAGCCAGTGCTCCTCTCGGGTCACCTGGCTGTCATGTTTGGGTGCAGTCTGGTGGGGCAGCTGTGGATGAACACCTTGCACCCCTGGCCTGGCCAGCCATTGCAGTTCCAACAGGAAGCTGTGGGACCAGGAAATGCGATAGACACAGGGCAACCCAGGCCCCATGAGTCAGGATGAGGAGGCTGCTCTGAGTCAGCCCCGACTCACCTACCAGCTCAGAGCTGGGCTGTGGTGCTTCCCTGCCTAGGCCCTGCCCACACAAACCACTGTGCTGGGTCAGATCCAGGACTTTGATTCTGATAGGCTTCTTTATACTAAGAAACATTCTACCATTGATTGAGAACTACTCTGTGCTGAGCTGGGTTCTATGCATGTTGCCACTAATCACCCCAAATCCTGTGAGACTAGCATTGTCAACCCTGATTTTTCAGGAAACTGAAGCTCTCAGCAGCTGAAGGACTTGCCTAAGGCAGGCAGTTCACGCTCTGAAATAAGTCCACCTTCTTGGAATAGGGCTAAATGGGTGTAGGGAGGGCATCCCCTCCAGAACACCCTACGTTGGTATGCCCAATTTTGTATTCATTTATGTCCAGGCCGATGGACCCAAGAAGCATCTCCGAGGCTTTCTTGTTATCCACGAACCCCTGGGGAATCACGTTGGGGTTCAGCACTTGGTACCTGACAGGAGAGAGACGACTGACATTCATCGTCATACCCACACTGGCAGCACACAAAGCACGTTCACACAGTCATCCATGGATTTTTGAGATGGGCTTTGAGACAGGGATTAGATTTGTTTTACAGATGCCCAAGGTAGGCAGAGAGATGAGATCCACTGGAGGCTTTGGGGCAAGGCTACGGCTTGGGAGTGAATGCCAGTATGGGTTGGGGGTTCCGGGATGAGGTGTTCCTAGAAATGAAGAAACCAAAATCCTTTCCTTCCTGGCAGGGCTTGGAGTAGAGAAAAGGGAACTGGCCCAGGCATAGGAGAATGGCTTCTTTTCCTGGGCTGTCAGCAGCCCCGTTTGTGATCTTGGACAAGTCCTTCCCAATTTAGGGACTTCAGAGGGCCTTGAAGAAGGTGACCTCCAGCGATCTTTCCTGATCCATGAATCTGTGGTCCAGTGTTTTAGGAAGTAGGGCAGTAGGAGAAGATCATCTCTAAGGTAGGAGTCTTAGTTTAGTTCCCCTAGAAGCAGACTCTAAGACAAGGATTCAAGTGCAAATGGTTTATTTGGGAGGTGACGGAGCTGGGAAGTGAGTAGAAAGCCAGTTAAATGCACATTATCAAGGCAGTTACGACGGGGCGAGGGAGCCCTGGGAGCAGTGGTGGGAGAATTTACACCATGGAAATTGGCAGATACTACCAATCAGGGCTGCTTTTTTTTTTAACCTGGAGAACCTGGTTAAACATTCACCAGCACACAGCTGTCTGAGTGCAAGTATAGAAGATGTCTCGGGGTTAGCCCACCAGAAGGGTGAGGGAGCAGAGGTATTTACACATCAACTCTCCTCAGTCACTGATGGAGGGCTACTCTGGGGAAGGTGTTAATTCCTGGGACTCTCAACCTGCCCGGGAGGGGCAGGCTGTATCCAGTAGCCAAAGAAATGCAGGTTCTGGCAGTTGAAAGTTGGGCCAGCATGTACTAAGGCAGTGACAGTGAGAAGGTATTGACAGGACACCATAGTGCCTGCCACAATGGAACAGGACTTACCAGCTGGCCAACCCCTGGAGGACAGAGCAGTGCACTCAAGAAGACACCACTCACCTCTGTTTGAACTCTGGGTACTGCAGCCTGTTTGGGAAGCCCTTCCTGCAAATACGGATGCCTTCCAGGACACCGTTGCAAGCCAGTTGGTGCATGATCAGGTGAGCATCCACCACACCTGCCAAGGGGGAGGGCACAGGATAGAGAGTGACTGCCCTGGGGTCGTACAGGCCAGTCCTGGCCACTCAAGGAGGCTGAACTGAGCATCTATGTCAACAACCCCTGTCTTCTCTCAGCACCTGGGAGACCCTAGGTGCCCACTATTTGACCAATGTCCAAAGGCTCTCCTGAGTGTGTTTTCTGGCTGGGTGGGCACTGTCTGCTTTATAACACAGCTAGACCATGACTTTTGGATGACCCATTGTTGGGGATTCTCTCAGAGCCTTGTTTAGCCCCCACCATCCCTGACAATGTAAGGTGGACTTAATGTGGAACAAACACTAACTTGGAAGACCCTCAGGACTTCCAACAGGGAGACATGACCCCACAAAGTACCTGATTGCTTAAACTCATTGGGGACAATGCAGCGGACAAAATGGGGGGCGGTGCTGTGGAGGGTGGCCATCAGCTTGTTCAGCTGCTCCTGCGGACAAAGAACAGAGAGTGAGTGAAACTTAACATTGATGTTGCAGCACACCCACACCCAGGAGGTTTTCATTTAGAGTTTAATCAATTAAAACTAAATTAAAATTCAGTGCTCAGTCACACTAGCCACTTTTCAGCACTAGCCACATGTGTTTCATGGCTACCATACTGATACTGGACAGCGCAGAAGAGCACATTTCATCATCGCAAAGAGTTCAGTCTTTCTTCATGCAACATCTCCCCGTTGGCTGCCCTTTGGAAGGTGTTTCCAGTAACGCCCAAACTTTGTGGAAGTTGTGGCCAGCCCAGAAGACCTGTCAGCCCATTATAGGACACAAAATGTTGGGCACTGATACCACAATTGGTCATGTTGCATAAGTCCCTTCACTCTCTGGGTTTCAATCCAAAATGATGTGGTTGGACTGGACCTTCTTGATGGTTTTTCCCTGCCCAATGATCCTGTGATTCTGTGGCCTCTTCAGAAGGAAATAGACTCCTCTAATTAAAGAGGCAATCACTGACAGAGTGATGAAATCATCCTGCCCTGGGCTGTGACGCAGCAGCCAGACCACCCACTATTGAAAAGGAGGGTTAGGGCACTGGACCCCAGGTGGCCTCTGGGCAGCCCCTACTCACCCTATAGAAGTTGGAGACTGTCAAGAAGGAAGACCCTCTCTTCTGTTTCTTGGTTCCAGCTGAGGGACGGACAAACACATTTCACATCAGTACTCAGCACGGGGACAAACAGTCCTATAAAGTGCTCTGTGCCAAAGCACATGCATTCTCTGGGTTTAAAAAGGCTTATCTCAGGACTAAGTGAGGTGGGACCCTCACAACAGGAAAATGAGATCTACCAGGGGCGAGCAAATGGACGGACTGTCATGTAATTGTGCTCCCTGGGGACTGTGCCGTCCTTTGTGATTTAGGGCTGGTGCAAGGTGACAAACTGCTCCCATTGCCCGGGGAGGAAGAAGAGCTCCCGGACCATCAGAGAATGTATGCATCGATGGTAAAATGAACTGAGCCCAAGGAGATTTGCTGTTCCTGTCCCACTGAGCGCAGCCTGATTGGGCAGCTTCCATTGAGGCAGTCCCCTGTGAGCCACGTGCCCTCTAACAGACGAGAGGCAGGGCCAGGCTAGGCGTTTGCCTCAGACAGGAGAGAGGGAAGCAGAGAGTAAGCAGAGGGCATTTGGGTGCCAGCTTTTAGGAAGTAGCATCCCTCCACCTAGAGGAGATATGGGCCCAGTGAGCAGTTCAGCTGATGGAGGCTCCCAGGTTGTGTCTCCACCCCTCTATCACAGCTGCATCCACGGCCCACCTCAAGCCACTGGCCATTCATTCATTCACTCACTCATTCCACAAGATTGAATAAGAGAATTTTGTTTCCTTCTTTCCATTTTGGCCACTAAAGGGCATCAGCACAGCGAGACAGGACACAACAAGGGCTTGGCCATACCTGGAGCCTCCTCTTCTTTGAAGAGAAGGGCCAGGAGTCCCATAGACGATTTCTGGAACAAGCCCACCACTGTTTCATTCAGGGGACCTTTATTCTTCTCCAGCCAGCCTGTGATGTTGTAGCCCACCTGGAGGGGGCAGATGCCAGTAAGTTGGAGGCTTGGCCTTCCCCTTTCAGGTCCCACATGTAGAACCTCCACCCTCAACTCTGCCTGCTCTGGGCTCCCAGAACCAACTTTCATCCCCATCTCCTGTAGCTTCAGTTCTTTTCCTGATGACTTGCCTGGTATCCTGGGGTTAAAGGCCCCATCATCTGCTTTCTTGGGCATTTGCAGTTTGCCTGTCTAAAACAGCCCATCTCTGAACTTTGCCCATAAACCAGGACTCCCTGGCGACTCTCTCCTGGGGTGTGACCTTTTGTGCACTTACTCTGTTGGCCACACTGAGCCTCCCTGACCCTCGAGTCTTCAACTGCCCAGGTGGGCTTGCTGTCAGCAACTGGCCACAGCTGTAGAATCCTGAGCTACATGAAGAAATCTACAAGGGCTTCTGATCTCTCCTTGTTCGAGAGCATGCATCCCCTCTTATGACACTGTAGGGTCTTTGTCTGGTGGAAGGGGGACTCCATCCATCCAGAACTGGGAGCTCCGGATATCCAGGTAATTGAACATCTGCTAATTTCCACTTCTCATTTTGCTATGTAGCCCCAGCAGGATGGCTAAGGAGGGAGGAGCCTTTCAGATCCTTCCACTGAGCACAGAGAACTGAGGAAAGTGGCTGAGAAGACACAACCTCTGGGCTTTCCATCTCCTGTGCAGCATACAGATAGGTGTCATCTTGGGCCTTATTTTAGGGCCTTCTTGGAAGTTCAGAGGTCCCATTTGACTTTGAATAGTCTGTCGCTGTAAATACAGAGGTCTTCTCAGTCCATTGTGGGAAGAGGGGATGGAGAGCTGCAATTTGGTCCCAGGCCTGCTGTTTGCTCAAAGTATCGTCCCAGTGCATTTTGTGAGCAGCTGGCATTGTTATGATTAATGACATCATAAACTTTTGGCACTGATGCCCATTGTGGCTTTCCTGACAGCCCCATCCTAAGGCTGCTGTTTCTCTGCAGTTAAACCTCCAAAGGCTCAACAAATTCTGTTGGTACCAGGCACGTTGGCATTTAGAGCAATATTGAGATCCCAAGGAAACCAAGCACATTCTCATACACTGGCAGAATGAATGTTGTCTCCCCTATTAATTATACAAATAGAACCTGTGTCCTGGCCGTGCTTCATTTCCCTCTTTCTCAAGGACCAAATTTGTCATGAATGAAAAAGCTACTCCACAGATGTCACCTTATTCATTTGGTGGCCACGAGCTGTCAGAGGGATAAGTTATTCAGTTGGGAGTAATCAATGGGCTCATGAAAAAGTTTTTTCCTTGTTACAAGTGTTGTCATTGCTGGCCGAGATTGAAGTTCAGCCATCAGACCAAGGGCCATAGACAATAGTGTGGCCCGGGCAGATCTGATGGCACCAACTGTGGGCTGCTCCTTAAGGGGCATCCATGGCTGGATTGCTTTGGAATTCTCAGATGGAGAAGTGATGAGGAGGTATGAGCTGGAGCTCATTTCCATTGGCTGATCACCCTGTTATATCTTGGCTGTGCTGGTTGGAAGCAGGACGCCTCCGGAGGGGTATGTCAGTGTGGACTATGATAGCAGGTGTGGACCAAGGGGCTCTGAGGCTGGTACTTACAGTGCCTGCGTAGTGGATGAGCTCGAAGTGGGCCTCGGGCCCCTTGCCCTTGCCCCCTTTGGGCTTAAGAAAGTTGCTGGACTTGCCCAAGTGGTTGTCATACAGGACTGCCTTGAATGTGGCATCCGTGGCTTTGGGGAAGACACACTGTTCCTCCAGGATGGAGAAGATGCCCATGGGCTAGGAGGGAAGAGGACAGGATGGTGTTAGGGGAGGTAGCAGGACCCAAAAGAGGCCACACTAGCATTGGGCCCGGGGCCAGTGTAGAAATGCACTCACATGGCCAGCCAGGAGGCAGCACTCAGACATCTGGGAGCAGCACCTGGTGCCCCATGGCCTTGTCTTCAAACCCCACGGCCAATTAGACTTGAAAGAGGCTAGAATTCATTGAGTCCAACAGAAGGGAAGGCTAAGGCCTGAAGGGGCAAGATAGCTCCCTAAATGCTAATCGCACCTAAACAGTGGCCCTAGGCAAGTTTGCAGTCGCCGTGGTGTGCATTTTGTAGAGGGGGAGCTAGAGGTCAGACCAACGAAGGTCATCAGGGGTGTTGCCAACTGCCCGGAAGCCAAGTGCCACCTCCCTGCATGCCCCAGAAACATGCCTTCCTGAGGCATGTACCAGTGAGGGCCCCAACCCCTCTCCAAACCCCTTCTTCAAGAAGCAGGTCACCTTTTCCAGGAGGTCAATGCAGGCCTGTAGGTGGAGGCCAAAGTCGATGAAGACCCACTCGATGCCCTCCCTCTTGTACTCTTCCTGCTCCAGCACAAACATATGGTGGTTGAAGAACTGCTGCAGCTTCTCGTTGGTGAAGTTGATGCACAGTTGCTCAATGCTGTTGAACTGCCGTGGGGGGAATACAGAAAGAGGGGTGTCAGCCCAGGTGCAGAGAGACCCCCTCCCAGGATGTGGTGAGGAAGCCACACACATAGTGAAAACTTGTCAAGGGCCCCCCAGGATCAGGCACTGCCCTGACTGCCGTAGCACTGACCATGTAGGGGACCCGGGAGAAGCAGCTCTCCGTTACCCTCCCCTGCAGAGGCATAGAATAGTTTAACACAAGCCCGGCACAGCAAAATTTAGGGACCCGAAACCTAGGCAGCCAGACTCTAGCCCCGTGTGGTGAACAGAGATAATTGTGGAAAGAGCTATTTTCCTTCCAGGGATGGGAATTGCTTGAAATGCTGTGTGGATCTGAGCTATTGTGTGCCTGTGGGCAGTTCATCTCTCTCTTTCTACTTTTTCTCATCCTCATCTGTAAGTTTGTCAATTTCCATGGTGTAAATATTTACACCATGGCTAATTTTAAGCTATGAACATCAGCAGCTGTTGTGAGCCAGGCCAGGATGGCTTCGGCACACCACTCATTCCATCCGTTAAGTTCACACCATTCTTTATGATTTGGCCCCATAGAAATGAAGACGGAAATTTCTCCAAGAGTCAGAGATCTAGTGGCAAACAGATTGCCCTGCCCTAGGTCCAAGGTGAGAAACGAGAGAGCCATAGTGCACAGTTGCTTCTAAAAGGAGGACGGCCACCCCAAGGCAAAAACCAAACATGAGGCCAGGCGCACCTCAAAGATCTGAAAGCCAGCGATGTCCAGCACCCCGATGAAGAACTGCCTCTGCATCTTGGTGTCCAAGGTCTTGTTAATCCTGACCACCAGCCACTTGAACATCTTGTCGTAGACAGCCTTGCCCAGGGCCCCGATGGAGTTCTGGCACTGCTCCATGTTCTGGCCTTTTTGCACAAACTCATTGCCCACTTGGACCCGGGGCCTGGTGATGCCCTTCTGGAGTTCGCCGGAATTGAGACCCATGAGATGCGCGACTTTGTCAGCCACTGAGCAGGGAGAGAAAATGCAGATGAGCACCAGGAAGATGGTGCCATGCCCAGGAGAAACGCGGCCCTACCTGTCGTGGTCTGAGGAGGGGGTGACGGGGAGCAGGGGGAGACCCCATTTTACCCATGAGAAAACAAAGATCTGAGGTGGTTTCCACACTTGTTCAAAGTCAAGTGGCAAAGTAGGGTCCTGTCTTGACTCTCTGTCATGCTTCTCTGAGGATATTGATGTCTGAATGTTCAAGGAACATGCACGGTTTATAGCCACCACGGAACCTAAGAATACCTGGCATATCTCTGAAACGGCCACAAAGCCCACGGGGCAGGGAACTCCCACCACTTGCTGCCTTGTCCCTGAACAGCCCAAGCCCAACACCCACCCTCAGTGGTGTCCACTTCAGCTTGCTCCTCTCTGGGCTTCTGCTTGAACTTCATGTTCCCAAAGTGCATGATGCCCCCAGTCAGCTTATAGACGCCCATCTTCTCCTCGGCGCTGAAACCCAGCACGTCGAAGGCGTCCTGCAAAGCAACAGGGTGGAGAAAGCCATGTGACTCCCGGCTTCTCATCCCATGTGATGGAGGCCATGGGACTGCTGCTGTGGGGCCACGCCAACGAGCCACTGCGGCAGTGCATGGGCACTGAAGTCAGACACACCCTGGACAGGGAGGGGTCAGATCAGATACTCTGCCATCTGGCTATTTTATTTATTTAATCTCTCCGGCCTCTGTTTAGCCATCTACAAGATGGGGATAGTAAGTGATTGTCAGGATAGAGCAGAATGATGTGTAAAATGTTTAGTGCTTGACACACAGTCAGTGCTCAGTAAAAGGCGTTATTATTATTACTACCATTGTTATTATTGTTAGGGCTTCATGCTAGGTACTGGGAGAGGGGAAGGCAAAAGTAAATCAGGACTCGATTCTGTCATTAAAGAAAAGAGAGGGCCTAGTACACAAATAATCCTAATGGAAGTCCCACGTGCTCAGTGCCGTAAGAGAGAAGGAGACAGAGAGTGCAGTGGGGAGTGGTAAGGTGGGAGAGTCACTTCTAGCTGGGCTGGGGAGGAGAACGTTGTGTGGGGTCGATGGTCCCTTTCGTCCCTGTGGAATTCTAGTTTGATTTTGCAAAGAGAAACTGTGCTTGCTGCAATGGCCTTGGGGTAAACACCAACTGCAACCCCAGAAATCCCCAGGGAAGAATCTGGGCTGTTGTCTGACAGCTCTGGGTGGGACGCCAGCCCCACTCCGGTTCCAGTGGCCACGCATGCAGGGCCCCAAGGTTTCCATCCTGGTCTCCCCCTGTCCCATGCCAGCCGCACCCACCCACTCACGTCTGTGATCTGCAGCTCCTCCCTGTCGTCCATGTTGTCCACCACAGTGACACCTTGGCTCACCCAGTGGTATTGCTTAGCATTGGGGACCAGCAGCAAGCTCTCTCCCAAGGGCAGCAAAGCAGGTTAACATCTTGGTGACATGTGGTTTTCTTCTCTTTCATTTCTAACCAATTTCGCTAAATGCCTCTCACATACTAGCCGTGACCGTGGACATTATGAGACTTATAGGGCCAAATGAAACATGATCCCTGCCCCCTGGGACCACCAGAATCACAGAGGGACTCGAACAGCCTCATGCAGGGAGCTTTAGAACAGCAAGAGGGTCACGGGAACTAGGCTTGCATCGTCTGTCACTTGGCTCAGTTCCTGGCACCTAGTAGGCACCCAGTAGATATTTGGGTAATAAATGAATTCTTATGTCTCTCCCTCCTCTCTCCTATAAAGAGCAGGTCACACACTAATGTAGAAGGCAACACAATGGCTGCAGCTGGCAATACAATCTCTTGCATGTGACACACATGGGAATGTTGTTGCTTTCCTAAAGAAATATGCTCACTTCTATTTTTCTTCAGATGTGTGCCCCTCTTGGTCTATCTTTGTATATTTACTTTTGGGAGGAGACATGGGTATAAGAAACGTTTCCCTTTCATTTTATCTCTACTAAAGAGAAAAACTAAAACACAAGAAGGAAGATAAATGGTGGTTGCCACTCTGCTCCAGCCTGAGGGAGGCAATAGGGCTTGGTGGGGAGTTTGGTGAACATGAGAACTTGAGCACCAGCCAGAGGGGCCAACATCACCCAACTGCCCTGATTAGTACCACGTGGGAGGACAAACTCAGAGGTACTGGATCCTCTGCTAATCTAAGAGAACCCAGGAAGTTGGATTTTTATGTGAAGACTTCCAATTTTAAAATGCCATTCATTAATTTAAAAAATATACTTTGTTGAACACAAAGAAAGCCCCCTGTGGGTGGGAGATGGTGCCCAATGCCCTCATCTCTGGCTGGGTTAGGAGGTGTGCAAGATTGAGTGTGGAAAATTGAGTCTTCATCCCTCCTCCCACCTTATGTCCTGAGCAGGTCTGCCATGGACAGTTGGCCATGTTGGTGCCTGCACAAGGGTGTCAAGTTGAGTGGGGGAGTGTACTCTGCTTTCCAAGCTGTGCACCCAGTGTGGGCTGTGTCCACGTAGGGGGAGCCTGTTGTTACTGAGCATGCAAGCACTGGCAGGGCTAATCATGGTCCTGGCTGGACCCCTCTGCCGCTGCCTAAGCATTAGACTCAGAGACAGCAGGTCCCAGTCCCAGAGGGATCTAAAGCCTCCTATCCCAGGCCCATGTCTCAGCCATGAGTTGCAGGCAGCCGAAAGCCTCATCTGTGAAATGGGCCAACAATGGCATTAAGCCTCATATGGCTACTGTGAGGACGAGATGTGCAAGTAGAACTTTCAGAAAGTTCCCTGTGATGCATTCACATAACTTTAAACTGAAGGGATTGTCATATGACCACAGGGGTGACACAAGACCTTTTGCACCCGGGAATTCTTTTCGTGATTGAAAAGAGGAAAAGCGAGTTTGGGACAGGCAGACGAATCTAAAGATCTTTACCAACAAGTTCAGGCTTCTTGTTTGAGACAATCTGGTAGAAAATGTGATAGCTTCTCTCGGCTGCTTGCTGTGAGATGATACGAGATTTCTCTAAGAGATCTGAACGAGAATAAGCAAAGATGCTGGTGAGTACAGAGCCATCTCCTGTCTCTTCAGGGTTCCGTGGACAGCAGGAATCCCCTCTCTAAAGCCCAGTGCAGTGGCCGGTCGCCAGCGGTGGGCCCCGCTCTCCCCTCTCCCCAGACGCACAGCCTCACAGGCCTGACTGCCCTCAGGGAGGCCTTTGAGTAGGGCTGTCTTCTGGGCCCCAACAGGCCACACTCAGAAGGACCTCACACTCGGTTTAATGATCCTCTGTTGCTGTTTTGAAACTCTTAATGCATTTTGAACAAGAGCCCTTGATTTTCATTTTGCACTGGGCCTCACAAGTTATATGGCTGGTCCTGCCTGGATGAGCCCTCCACAAGGGACTGACTTACAGCTCTCGATGTCGGCTCCAGCCAGTTTGCCTGTAGTTCCGAAATGGATCCGGATGAACTTGCCCTGAATAGGGAGGAGAGGGCAGGGGCAGGAGGGAGGTTATCCATAGCTTTAGAGCAGTAAGTGGCCTGGATTTGGCCAAGGGTCGCTGTTCGGGATGTAACCGGGGCACACGTGGTTGTATGCAGAGCCTTGGAGTTCCCATGAAGAAGGTCTCAGAGCCTGAATCTAGGGTCTGCGGTTTGGGGCATTTGTCAGGGAGGGGAGTGCTCGGCAGGAGGGGCTGAGACCCTTTGGGATTCGGCTCAGAGGCCAGGCATTGTGGGAATTTGTCCAGCCAGGAGGTGGGAACTCTCCTGAATCTCCTTATCAAGAGACAGCCCTTCCTCTTCCTAACTTGTGTCAGAGCCACCAATGGATTCTCCTGGAGACAGGAATCTGTCTTGGTCTTGGCTGCTCCTGGGCCTGTCTGCCCTCACCTCTGTCCCTCACCTGCTGGCCCCAGCTCTGTTTCCCTGGAGTCCCTGCCAGCTCCCTGGGCTCTGCCATGGGAGGCCCCAGAGCAGGCTGGGGAGGCGGGAGGCGGGAGGGAAGGCCAGGGTGCGGCTCCTCCTTGGGCAGCACCTCAGGCGGCGCTGAGTTCTCCCAGTGCCTCCAGCTCCCACCGGAAGGCCAGCCACACTGGTTTCTGAATCCACCAGGGGCCCAGTGACAGCGCCTCTCCTATGTCCTTCCAAGGATCGCAGCTTCCCACGGCTGAGAATCTCTGCAGCAAAGCCCCTTGATTGAAATACCGAAGTGGGTTCTGTTCACTGATTAGGTCCTGATTGACACAACTTAAAAATCTCTGGGAAGGAGATGCCTGGAATTTCCTCATTCCCTTTGCCTTCACTTAAATTAGCCTCAATTTCTTCACTTGGAACAGGGTCATGACCCCTGTCCTACCACCCCCAGGATCACACTTACGAAGCGAGAGGAGTTGTTGTTCCTGGTAGTCTTGGCGTTCCCGAAGGCCTCCAGCACGGGGTTGGCCTGGATGATTTGATCCTTCAGGGATCCCTGGCCCTGAGAGAAACCCAAGGTGGGGTGACCAAAGCTGAGGGGCTGGGCTTGCTAATGACAGTGGCTTATGTGCCAGGGACCCAGGAGGGGAGTGGCCTTGGGGCTGCTGGAAAGTCAAGGCCAGAGGGGCAGCATGTAGTGACCTGGGCAGAGGGCCACTGCCTGACAATGTCTGTCCTGCAGCTATGTAATGTCGGGTGGGGGGTGGGTGGGGGATAGTCTTGATTCCTGGCTATTTCCTCACTTTGCTGTTGGTGGGGAGACCCCTGAGTGAGCCTGAAAGTGCCCCCTACCCCCCTGTGCATCCTTGGTCTCCCTCCGAAGCTCTCCTATGCTCTGTCAGCTTTTCACAGCTGCTGCCAGCCCAGACTGTGCTCCTCGTGCCCCTGGGGCAGCCAGAGGCTGCAGAAGCAGCTTAAGGCAGAGCCCCCTTCCCTGTCTCTCCTCTGCCACTGTCCTCCTGGTGGCAGATGTGGCCTGGGGCAGCAGAACTAGTGCTGCGGGAGGAGACCTTGTTCTGTGGTCACCTTCTCCCTGTGTGACGCCAGGCAAGTTGCTTCTCTCCAACCCTCAGTGCCATCATCTGTAAGATGACCCTGACCCCCAGAGCCACTATGAAGGTCCCACAGGCTCTGCTGTGTGTTGCGGAAGCCGGAAGATGGGAAATGGACCCTGAGTCCACCCAGTCAGCTGTACTTTCTTATCGGAGGACTGCTTGCCAGTCCCTCCAATGTTGGCGAAGTACTGGATCACCTTCTTCATGTTCTCAGTCTTGCCAGCGCCGGATTCTCCACTGCGGGTGGAAAACGGGAGTTGAGAGAAATGCCAGAAGAGGGTGCGTTGGCCAAAAGAAGGAAAGCAACAGAAAGTACACATTTCTAGTCACATTGTGCCCCCAGGCCTAGACAGATGGGCAGGTGGGGAGGCCTTGGGGATGCAGAGGCCCCCCTTGGGTTAGCAGGTGCAGACTCACTCGCCCTGTTGAGCCCACTCACCGCCTGCAGAGTTCCCTACAACGTACCCCAATTAATTCTAAGAAGGCTTAATTACACGTATAAGACACAGACCTAATTATATGTGTATAGACTGAGAGACAGAAGAGACACTTACGTGATTAGCATAGACTGATTTTCATGCTCTATAGGGAAGAAAACAGCAACAGGAAGATGTAATTAGGAAACATTTAGAAACTAGGCATTTGATGATACCCCAGCCAAACGTTCAGCCCTTCCCCAAGTCCCAACCATCTCAGATCGTGGCCTTGGCTGCACTTGGAGGCCAAAAGCCCAGTATCATGTGGGATCCGTGGCCACATGCCCACCACTGCAGCCTACAAAAAGGGCCAAGAATTTATCAGCCACTCTGTTTCTACCAGCCAGTTCTACTGAGTTGTACAGCTACCCAGTCATAAGCAACGTAAAGAGAAATGGTCACAAAAATCACATAAAAGAGCCATTCGGCAAAAAGCGTCCAGGTAACGGTCTAGGCTGTTGACTTGAGTTCTGGGTAAGTTACTTACCTTGGCATCCCATGGGTTTGTGAAGCTTAAATGAGATAGGGTGTGAGGTAGGGCTGGTGCCTGGTGGGTGCCGCATGCATTCGCTGAGCACTAGGATGTGGTATTAATACCACATGCAGCTGCTACTGTAGCTGCTCGACATCTAGCAAAGAACTTCGATAGGTGGTGCAGGGTCAGGGCTGGGATGGGGCAGCAGCAGTCCCAATGCACATGGAGCCACAATGGCAAAGGAAAGCTTGTCTCCCGCCACCCCAGCCCCAGCAGCCCCCGCCCCCACGCACCCATGAGCATGTCGTGGTAGGCGTTGTCAGAGATGGAGAAGAGGTGGGGTGGCATCTCCGTGCGCTTCTTGCCCTTGTACATGTTGGCCACGCGAGCCCCATAGATGGGCAGCCACCTGTAGGGGTTGACTGTCATGCAGAACAGGCCTGAGTAGGTCTAGCGGCAGGAAAGGAAGATGGTTAGCTGGCCCTTCCTCCTGGGGCTCTCTTCCCTTGGCTGAGTCCCTCCAGGCCCCAGCCTATTGCAGAGCAGGCTGTGAACAAAATGAGTCTTCTAGGGGCGAAACCTATGCCTGTCTGAGTCTCTATCCATTGAGCAAAATGAGCTTTCTCTTTAATATATATTTTTTCTTTTGATTTGATGACAGATGTTCCTTGATTTATGATAGAGTTACATCTGGATGAGCCCATGGTTAAGTGGGAAATGTTGTATCGTAAGTCGATTTATGATATTTTCAACTTATGATGAATTTATTTAGATGTAGCCCCATCGTAAATCAAGGAGCGTACCGAATGGGTATCGCTTTTGCACCATTGTAAAGTCAGAAAATTGTTAAGTTAAACCATCATAAGTTGGGGGCCATCTGTATTTGAACAGATAACACAGTCACTGTGTGGACACATACACAGCAAAAGGACCTAATTTCTTATACCCTCTTCTGTGGTTTTTGATTCACGTAAAACAAACCCAGAGACACATTCTTAGCCCCTTCCCCTTGTTTATAAAACAAAAGATAGTATTCTACAGTACTGTTTTATGTCTTGCCTTTTCCACTTAATATATCTGAGAAATTGTCCATGAGTGTCCAGTGTGACACTTCTGGGGTGATTTAGGAGCTGCGGAGTCCTTGCTGTGTGGACACAATCCTCTACTGGTGGGCAGCTGGGTTTGACCTACTCTTAAAAAGAGACCCCAACTTCTCTTTTCATTCCAAGATTGCAATTTGGTAAGAAATCACCCCATTTTAAAAAAAGACAGAAAAACCAACGAGGCAGTAAAAGAAATTATCTGAGGGGAGGGAGAATAAGTGCAGACAAGAAATGGCCAAATCGACACGTCCCAAACTTTTCCTTCTCCTTGCTGGACGGTTGCACTGATTGCTGATGCCTCCGCCATGCGGCTCTTTTCAATTCAACTTTAAACTGTTCCATTTTGGTCCAAGCACCCCGCCCAGCTTCTCCATAGCATAACTGTGATATGCTGAGTTTTTCAGAGGAAACTTATTAAATAGAACTTGATCCGAAGAAAAAGTAGCAAAGAGAAGATGAAGAAGACCCAGTGGGAGAGCTCAGAGTATGACAAGCAGCATCTCATCCTGAGACTGCAGCCACACTGTCACTCTTCCCCTCCAGCCCATCTCAGCTCAGGTGTGGGGGCGGACAGCAGCCCGGAAGCCAGCTCCATCCCTGTTTGGGTCAGGACGGGTACAAGAGGGAAGCGGTTGGGGCTGTGAGAGCAGCCCTTGCCTGCCAGAGTTGTTCAACTAGTGGTTCCATCGAGTGCTTTGATGTCAGAGGTTTCTCCCTGCCCTGGTCCCTCAGCTCACACTCCACAAAGCCTGCAGTCCCGTAGCCGGAAGACACGGTGGCCATCCTCTGGGAGCAAGGGCTTGGCCACAGAGCAGGCTCGAGTAAGCCCAGCGGTGAGCTTGGCCACAGAGCCCACCAACACCAACATTCTCAGTCCAGGCTCCAGGCCCAGCCAAGGGTGCAAGTAGCTCTTCCTAGACCCGAGGTCAGAGAATGCCCCACTAGCCTCCAGGCCTGGCAGATATCCGCAAGAGCTTTCCAGAGATCTTCCAGCACCTCCTGGGCTATGGTGCTGCTGGGCCCTGAATCCAGGACCAATGATGCAGTAAAGGAGGACAAGGGGAGTAAGGCACAGCAGCCACAAACCCAGGGAGGGGAGTCCCCTGCAACCTCAACCTTGAAATCAGGCGCACCTCACCTATTCCTACCAGACAAGCACCTTTCCTCTTTAGTAAAGACATCTGGAGAGGCAAACACCAAAACTTCCTTACAACCCACTTGGGAGTTTAGTCACCAGCACCTTCAGGAAATCGTCGTCTGTCTTAGTATTTCCAGGACACTTAGGGGACTGATTGTAACTCACTCTGGTCATCACTTCAGACAAACAGAAACCAAACTCTTTCAAGGATGCAGCCTGTTGTCCTTCCTAAGTCCCTAAGGCTGCATTTAAATCACATTTCCTCAAGGTTTGTTGGCTGGCTGGCTGGATGGGTGGATGTTTGGATGGATGGATGGATGTTTGGGTGGATGGATGTTTGGATAGATGGGTGAATGGATGTTTGGATTGATGGATGGGTGGATGAGTGGATGGACGGATGTCTGGAAATCACGATGGGGAAAATGATGTTTTGATTGGAGCATTTGAGGAAGTGGGGAGGAGCACGAGGAGGAAGATTTCTGGGTGACGGCCTTAGTACAAGGTGTTTCAGCTGCCCGTGGAGATGGTGCCATCACTGAGATGCTGAAGGCTTGGGTGGAAGTCCTATCATGTCAAAAACATGGTCCCTGTGCCCTTGTCTGAACGATAATATGCATCAGGAATAGGGAGGGTGGAGTAGGTATCCCTCCCTTCAAAAGAGGGTTAGAAGATCTGCAGGCCCCCGTCTTCCCCACCTCAGCCCCACCCTGGGCACTCACATAGATCCTCATGTTGACATAGCGCTGGTGCAGGTTGTCCAGGACACTGGCCTCATTCAGGAAGGTCATGTCTGCCATGTCACTGACCTGGTAGAATTTGGGCAGATTCACCTGCTGGATATCATCCTTCTTCATGGTGAGCGTCTGGGGGGTCAAGACAAAGTGCGAGGTTGAGCGAGGGGCCGGCAGTTTCCCTGAGTGGCCGCCTCCTGCACCCACCGATCACTGGCTGTTGTGGCTCCTGGGGAGCAGGGCCCAGGTGGGCCACAAGCCCTGAGCACGCCAGCTGGACAGAAGTGTCCCCACCAATATGCTGTATGGCCCAGCCTGCCCAGTGAGCCGCATGAGGGCTGTAGCAAGACCCAGTCACTGGCCATAGGTCTGGGCCACGTGGCCAACATCTGCAGATACTGCCCAGTGAGAGCACCCGAGGGGCTCCTGAGAGACCTGTTGCCAGGACCAGTGACCCTGGTGATGAAACCCTCAGAGGCCCTCAACAACAACCTGAACTCCTCTTCTCCCCTTGTAGGCATCAGATTCCTGACCATACCTTTATGCAAGACTTGGCCTCGATGTTTGGGGGGACGTCTTGCTGTCACTAGCTCCGACCTCATCTCCCAGGCCAGTTCTCTGAATGTCGAGGAGTTCCGAGACCTCTGGCCTCAATTGCCTTGGTCATTGATGGGGGACCACTTGGGGATGGCCAGAGCCCTGAGTGTTGCCTCAGCTCAACTGTGGTTGACTTATCTCAGCCTGGAAAACTTGGCATCATTCATCCACGCTATGCTCTGAGAAGTGATACAACCATCCTCTACAGGAGTATAGGCTGCTCCCTTACATGGAGCCCACCATGAAACTCAGGAGGAGGGAAGGACCAGTGCTGGATGCTCTGTGTCCACCCCCTGGTGGTTGGCAAGGCCTCATTTGCAGATGTATGGATGGATGTATGGATGGATTGATGGATAAGTGTTTGGAAGGATGGATGTTTGGATGGGTGGATGTTTGGGTGGATGGTTGGATGGATGGATCAATGGGTGGCTGTTTGGATGGATGGATGTTTGGATGGATAGATGTTAGGATGGATGGAGCTATTAATACATCACTAGCCTGACCCTTTAGGCAACGTGTCTTTCTGAACACCATAGACCAACCTCAGAAGCTGCTGGTGTAGCCTTGCACCCGGGGAAAAGGTTATGTTTATTATTTGTAGTTTCATACATCAGGCAAAAGCTGAATGGAGAGCTTAAGCACATTCTTAGGGTGGCCTTATTCTGATAAATGTCTTCTATCTCTCTCTCTTTTTTTAATTGAAAAGTAATTTAAATAACAGATTTAGAATCTAGTGAGAGCCTCCTTTCTGGTGGGTGGTGGCATTTAAGGTTCAAACTAGCAGAGGTATTGATGTTGATTAAAAGTTTCAGGTGACCAAAGGCATGGATTGGGCTCCCGGAAGCTGGAACTAGGTTAGGATGAAGACAGTAGAGCCACAGGCCAAACACTGGTTCCTCTGAACCAGCAGGGCTAGTGGTACGGCATGTGGTCACTGCCTGGCAAAGTCTGATAGTGGGAAGTCTGCCCCATTGGCAGGGAGTAGAGGTGGTCTGGTATCCCTTTCAGCTAGTGACTTTTTTCTTATTTATTCATAAAATAAGTTATAGTTAATTATACCTATATACCTATAATACCTTTATTTAAATCCAGTGTTACTCACTAGCCTTCTGTCTTTCTTTATACGTGTACCAAGTGTTAAACATAATTATTACTGGGCCTTTGAACTTTGATTTTCTTTAATATAAAAAACTGCTGCTATTAAACATATTCGTAAATGTTAAAAAAAAAAAAGACACAGCAGCACATGCTTATGAATGGAGTTGTCACAGCCATGTGGCCTCTGGCCCAGGGCGCCACGCACCCTCTGGTGTCCTGCAAGTAGCTGGAGTGGAGCATCCAGTGGGCCCAACTCCAGGTCCAGCCCCACCGCACCATGTGACTTGGGATGGGGAGGGACTTCTGAGGCTGTAACAGCCTTCACTGCCTCCCCTCTGGAGTGGGGGTGACAGTGACCTCCTTGGCTGATTGCTGAGAGAATTACATGGACCTAAGTGGAATCACATGAAAATACCTTGTAAACTACGACATCCCCTCCCTGCATTACAGAGCACCTCTGACCTATGCTTCTTCTCCAGCCCAATCCATTCTAGTAGCTGATCAGAGCTCGCTCTTTGATCCCGGGGACATTTTGCAGGGATGTGACTCTTGGCTCTCTGCCTTGAGTGTTAGTAGTGGTTCCAAAATAGCAATGAACTTTTCAATTTTTTTTTTTTTAAAAACATTTCCCTGCTCCCACCAAAAACCTTGAGGGATAAAATTGAAAGCAAGCAAACAAAGAAGACAAAAAGGAAGCAGCAGTGGGTGCTCAGCAGTAGATATGTGGGCTCCTGTGCAAGGCGGGCAGATCCCTTCCCCACACTGCACCCCGATTTTCTCATCTATAAATGAAAACTAGCTCCGGCTCCCGAGTCCTGGCATCTGGGATCAAAGCTTAAGACCCATGATCCAGAAAACAAATATCTCGTAGCTGCCTGCAGCCTTAGATGTGCAGCATGAATACATACTGGGATTTCTGGGACTTGTAATAATGTGTGAGTACAACAGGCAGATCATCTGAGATCTTGACAGTTCTGGAAAATCCACCTAGTAGTGATCTCCGAACCTACAGTAAATCAGATTGGGTTCTACTCGGAGTCCATTTCCCGCAGTTTCCAGATCTCTGGTCCTCGCCCATATGCGGCCACCTCCCTTTCAGCCCCAGCAGAGGAACTGGGGTCTTTGACTTTCTCGTAGGAGCCAGGTGAGTCCGCACCAGGGGCTCTGTCTGTTCTGTCCCAAACCCGGCTGGCTGGCCCTGTCCACTGTGCATACTCAAGGAAGTTAAATGTTGTCACATCATTTCTCACAACACTGCAATCCTGTCCCCTTGGAAAAGTATGTTTGTCCTGAGAATTAAGCTTGGCTTTCACATTCAAACCCACTTTCCCCTGGCTCCAGCCCCGCTGTACGTTTACTGCCATGCCCCTCGAAGGCAGGTGCAGAGAAAAGCACAGTGGTTGCTAGTTCTGGTCATCAAAGGTCTCTGAGTTTTTTTATTCGTGAAAATTAACCAGGGACGGACGTCCCCCTCCCCCTTGGCAGCCTGCCGTGGAGAGGCGGTATGGCGACGCAGAGTGGGCACGGGCATTCGAGCCAGATGCTGTGGGTTTTGGTCCAAGTTTCTCATTTGCTGTCTTTGCGACCTTGCACCAATAACCTCAGGTACACTTGATCGTCTTTTTCCCTTCTCTGCAAAATTGGGTCAATAAATCCTACTACATAAGGTTGTCAGAAGGATTAAATAAACTATCAAGTGCCTCAGCAGGGGTCTGCCACAGGGTAGGGGTTTAATAAACCAAATTTTCTAGCCACTCTCAATTCATACCTCATGGTCAGATGCAGTGTAGACCAGCAGAGAGAGGGGTGTGTTGGTAACCCAGCTGTCTAGGGGGAAAAAAAATCCCTGATCTGTAGAATTTGCCAATTTCCATGGTGTAAATACTCCCACCATGGCCACTAGCAAGCTACTGCAGGTTTTACAACTGACTGTACAGTCCTTGAACGTTTAGTGTTGTGTCCTCACAAGCCAGGTTGAGTCCAGCACGCTATTGCTATGCAGCAAGGGGCTTGGGAAACACCACCTATTACTCCCACAGTTGAAGAGCTCATTCGGTGAGCTAGGGTGTTCTTGGCCCTGTTTCGAGTTCCTTATGCCGCCATAGGCCATGGCACACCATGAGACTATGGATGGGTGGGGTGCTCACTCTGACTCTTAGAAAACAAATCCCACGTGAGATTCCGATCTTGTTGGAATCTCTATTCTGATGGAGCCAAGCCTCAGAGAGGGGAAGCATCTTGCCCAGGGCCACACAGCTTGAGTGTAGTTGAGTCTGGAGTTGACCCAGGATGCGGGACTTAGAGACATCTGCTCTTTTTGCTCCCCTGCCCCTTGGGCAGAAGCAGGTCCAGAGGAGGCCTGGGTGCCTGCCACTGCCAAGGTCAGTTTCCTCCTGGAGGTCATTCCCCACTCACCTGGTTGGTGATGGTCTTCACAGTGACTTGGTCACCCTGTTCAGACTGGATCTCCCCAGGCATGAAGCCCTCCTTCTCGTCTTTGACCCAGCAGGACCCCTTAATGTCATAGGGTTTGTTCATGGCTTCAATCCTCTGCTTGTCGGGAGGTGCCAGGAAAGGCAGGGGATCCACATCGTCCCCACATTCCCTTTTGTACCCACCAGGCATTGCGGCTTGGCTGAGGAAGAAGAAGGACAGAACCAAGGGCAGGAGCCTGGACTTCCCTGGGTGCTGTGGGGGAGGTAGGCATAGGCTGGAGCAGACACCCTGGGAGAGACAAGGGCTTGCTTCCCGCGTGTCGCTTTGGCTGTCTTGGTGCCATTAGGTCTTCATAACCAAGACTAAGAAATCAGCAAATAACTCCCCACAGCAGGTGCCACCCAACAAAATGCTTCTGCATCTGCTGTCTCATACGCTCCTGACTCCCAGGCTGCGCGCTGGGGATGGGGAAGCCCATTTTGTGGAGGAGACCAGAGCAAGGAGAGGTAGAAGCAAGAGTTTTTAACCAGGGCCCACAAAAGGGGACAGGAAAACAATTATCGCTTGGTTTTTACTTCCCTTAAGGTCTGAACAGAGGCCCCAGCCACCGTAGGGCCAGCACAGCCTATCTTGCTCCCCGCAGAAATCAGAGCTGTCGTTTCATGTTAGAGTGGGCACAGACATCGCAAGGTATTATTTGTCCTCACCTCAACTTCGAAGTTAGGGTCTCTTTAGACTCTGAGTGAGATATTGTTATTTAAATTTATTAATAACAAAGGACATTTATTATTACCATATCACAAATTAATTTTTTAATATTTTCATAACAGTATTTCAGTACCATTTGTTTCCTTTGTAGCTCTATGTATTTTATTCCATGCATTTAAAAACACTAATCTGGCCGGGCATGGTGGCTCACGCCTGTAATCCTAGCACTCTGGGAGGCTGAGGTAGGAGGATCGCTTGAACTCAGGAGTTCGAGACCAGCCTGAGCAAGAGTGAGACCCCATCTCTACTAAAAATAGAAAACTTAGCCAGGTGTGGTGGCAGCGCCTGTAGTCCCAGCTACTTGGGAGGCTGAGCCCAGGAGTTTGAGGTTGCTGTGAGCTAGGCTGACAATATTGCACTCTACCCAGGGCGACAGAGTAAGACTCTGTCTCAAAAAAAAAAAAAAAAATTCACTAATCTGAATAAGGGTCTACAGGCTTCACCAGATACCAGGCAGATTCCTGATATAAAATGATCACCTGGGTCAGTGACTGTCTTTCCTGAAACAAAGCCAAGTTGGGGTCAAACAGGGGCCTCTTGACTTCCAAACCCTAGATGGAGTCACTGAACCCCCAGGAGGGAGGGGAACCGGGGGTTCAAGGGAACAAAGAGAGAAGCCTCCCCAGTATGTCTTGGGGGTCAAGAACCTTCCCGAAGGTTCAGGGAGGGTGTGGTCCTGAGACCCTCTGTCAGCGGTGCTGTTCTCCAGGCCAAGAGTACAGCCTGTGTCTTCAGATAACCCCACTGGAGAGCAGGGGTCTCTGGACCGTCCCCAGGGCCCCTGCTGTGCTGTGCCACTGCCTCGCCTGCCAAGGCCCCTGCTGTTTCCAAAAGAGGCTGAGTCAGCGCAGCAAGCACTGGAGGCAAAGCCAGGCGTGCTTTCCTCGTGGGGCCTGGCTTAGCCGGTTCTGCTGGAGCCCGGGTTCTGTGTCCCCAAGGCCGAGCCATTGCACAGAAAACAAGAAATGAGGGCAGGAGGGCAGGGGTCTTGTGCCCTCGTGGGCTGCAGACCCCTTTGGTTATCTGGTGATGCCTGGGGTCCCCTTGGACAAAATATTTCAAATTGAAGTAATAAAATCCATAGGATTACCAAGGAAACAAGTGACATTAAAATATAATTAACCAAATATTAAAGATGCATGATACAGTAATATATGTGCCTCTTTACAAATGCATGGAATAACTCGATCTAGCAGCAGGTCTAACAAGCACTGTGGTTTTGAAGCAACAATGAGCATTAATGACATTTTGAGATATCTGCAACCATAATAATTTGATATGAAAATACCAGTGTCTTCCGGGTCCTACTAATAAGGCTGTAATTAATAAGAGACTGTTATAAAGGGGAGGAGACGACACATTTCAGTTGAAGCTATTGAAAATCACGATGGAAATGTTTTCTCATTGAAGACACTGGGGCCCCCGGTTAAGAACTCCTGCCTAATCCTTCCCATGTCCTGTCTTCAGGGAGCACTGGGCTGGGAGTCCTGGCTTCTGCCAATAGCATCGAGCACTCTTCATTCAGCATCTAGGAGACGTGGCTCCTGCTTAGCTCTGCCACAAGCCACCTTGGGCAGCGCCATCACCTCCTTCAGCCTCCCTCCAACCCGCCTTCTGGAAGCTACAATTGCTCAATGTAAACTTCCTTTTGTCATTCGTTGCCCCTGCCGTGCTCAACTGCATTATTATTATTATTATTTTTTGTTGTTCCATTTCCCTGGTTCTGCTTAACAGACATAGAAGTCACCAGGGACAAGAGACAAAAATCCTCATGAAAAGGAAATTTAAGTATCAGCAAAGTCAGATTAAGATGCCTTTAACTTGTCTTGAAAAGAAAACATCTGCCCACATCTGAGGGCTGGGTCCCTTTTCAGTTGTTCCAGTGGGGGCAATGGGGGTGACAAATTCTTCTTTATTTATACCGGTTAGGCTGCTTTAAAAAAACAAAAAACAAAAAACAGTGGTTCTGCTGTGAGCGGCTAGCCACGGTGCCGTTGCTATTGTCCTGGCCTGGTGGCCTGGGGCACAGACCTCTCCCGCCAGGTGCTGCCCTAAGGGATGTCCAGGTCTCTGACACCAGCTACCCGCTTTCAGTGGCCACCAGCCTCTTGCTTGGCCATGACTCCCCCACCCCCCAAGGTCCCCTGCATCCTTGGATGCTCCTGTCCTTCCAGACGTCTTTGGTAACCTTTGGCATCTTTCCCACGTGTCACTTTGGCTGTCTTGGTGCCATTAGGTCTTGATAACCAAGACCCATTGTCAAAAATCACAAACCACAAAACTTAGAAAAAATTTAGCTCACGGAGTGCAAAGCTGCAAGAGTCCTCAGAGGGAAAGATGCTTTATAGAGCACAGGAGGGGCAGCGCTGGGATTGAACCCAGCACGAATCCAGCCCCACCGCCCCAGGAAGGCAGGTGGCACAGGGGGAAGGGGTTGATCTGGGTTCAAATTTGAGCTGCTCCTGTTTCCCTGTGGAGTCCCGGCGGCTCTCTGGACTTGTCCCCTCATCTGTACGTCCAGCCAGCCTGGAGTGCAGTCACCTGGAGGGCTGACTGGGATGCCACCTCTGCAGCCCCTGGGGCAAGGCAGGTGCTCATGAAATGCTTGTACCTGGCTCCCCTGCCAATCTCTCCTCATTACCCCCGATTGCCTCAGGTGACTCCCACCAGTGCTCCTCCCCAGCACGCCCCAGCCCGTGCCCGTCTCCCCCAGCACCGCTGCGGGTCCCACCTAAGACCACACTGGAAGAGCCTGGGTGCCCGGCCGAGCCTAGCCGTGCCCTTTTATACCTGCCCAACAGGTCCGAGCCGGCAAAACCTTAAAAAAGAAAAGAACCCCCCAGGGCTCTGGTGGCTCGCTGGCCTCGCCTTCCAGGGCCTGACTGGGCACTCCTGGGTCCCTCAGGGGGGATCAGTGGATGCCCTAAATCTAAGACATTCGCCTTCCTCCCGTGGCCCTTGTGGGGAAACTGATGACCTCAGCCCCGGGGTACAGGCTGCGGCAGAAATAGAACAGCTAGGTAATGAGATTTCCTCTTAAAGCTACCAGTGGACCCATGGTGGGTGCTGTCAGGGAGGGACGCCTGGTTTCCTCACCCGCAGCCTCTGGCATGCATGAGCACAGTGACCAACTGGTTGATGGCTTTGTCCCTTCCACGCACTCAGGCAGGAAGGCCCATGTTAGCCTGGACTTCACTCTTCCAGTCATGGCCGTGGGCCCCCTCCAGCCCCCACGGCCAGCAGAGGCCATGTGGTGTCACCATGCAGTGCCAGCCTCCACCTCTGAAGCCCTGACTCTAGCTCCTCTGTGGCTTCCTGTGCATCATGTGGCAAGTCCCTGCCCTCTCTTGGCTTACCTTTTCCATCTGTAAAGTGGGTGGCTGAGCTGATGCTCTTTAGAAGTCCTTTGTGCTGTTTAAATTCCGGAGACGGCCTGTGGGTCTCCAGGGAAAAACCGCCTGGGGGACATTCTTCCTGGCATCTTTTTCATCACCCCTATCCCCACCCCACAAGTCTCCAATTCACTTTTTTAAATGGAGATGAAATTTACATAACATAAAATTAACCACTTGAAGCAAACAATTCAGTGGCATTTAGTTACATTCACAATGTTGTACAACCACCGTCTCTATCTACTTTCAAAACATTTTCATCAGCCCAAAAGGAAACGTAGTATCCGGTAAGCAGTTTTCTGCCCCAGCCCCGGCAGCCACCAATCTGCTTTCTGTCCCTGTGGCTTTACCTATTCCAGGTATTTCATATGAGTGGAATCTCACAATATTTAGCCTTTGTGTCTGGCTTCTTTTTCTTAGCATATTGTTTTCAAAGTTCATCCATGCTGTAGCAGGCGTCAGGATTTCATTCCTTTTTATGGCTGAATAGTATTCCGTTGTATGGATATACCACTATTCCTTTATCCATTTATCAACATTTGGGTTGTTGTGTGAATACTGCTGCTGTTAATTAATAAACCTGTACATATATTTTTTGAGCACCTGTTTTCAGCTCTTTTGGATATTTCTCTAGAAGCAGAATTGTTGGATCATATGATAATTTTATGTTTAGCTTTTGGGGAAACCACCACGCTGTGGGCTGAGTTATTTTACATTCCTTCCAGCAAGTCTCAAGGGTTCTCATTTCTCCACATTCTCACCAGCACATATCATTTTCCATTTCTTTGGTTATAGCCGTGCTAGGGGGCATGAAGTGGTATCTCATTGCGGTTTGATTTGCATTTCCCTAATGACTGATGATCTTGAGCATCTCTCTGTGTGCTTTTTGGTCACTTTATCTTCTTTGGAGAAGTGGCTATTCAAGTTTTTTGCCCACTTTTAAATCAGGTTGTTTGTCTTTTTTATTGTTGAGTTGTCTTTTTTTTCTTTTTTTTTTTAAGAGACAGAGTCTTTCTGTGTTGCCTGGGC